ACATGCTAAAAATTCTTCAGAAATTATTTCTCAGCATTTTAAAACATCACTGTTTTGTCTTTGTAATTATTTTTCATCTTTATTTAGGAAGCATGTTTCTGCATATTCTCAGCCTGTTGCTGCCATAAATGTTGAGATTCTATTATTTCCAATGATCACAGTAACTATTTGTAGTCTGTATAACCAGCAGAAGTATCCAGGCAGCTTATTATCAAGTTAAATGCAACTGTTCTCAGAGTAAAAATAGTGTTGGGGATTTTTTGGTGTTTTGGTTTTTTTGGTGGTTTTTTTTGTCTTTTTTTTTTTTTTTAATATCATTCTCTAGAAGAATTTTCACAAGCATTTCCTTCTCATCATTTCTTGGCATGTAGAAATTGGAGCATGTTACATTTATCTCCTAGGTTACTTCTGTTTTAAACAGATAGTGATTGCAATATGGATATAGTGCTGAAGAACCACACAGGCTGTGGGAAAACCATGCATTTTAAAAATAGGTGCTTTTATGGACATGCACATAAAAAAGCATGTGAAAAATTTGGACTAACCTTGTACTGTACTGTGGAGAATTACACAGTTCATATTTGGTTTCTAATTATTCCTAAAATTATTAGAGCACATAATATACTCTATTTATTTTACTTTTTTTTTCAAAGTGAAAGTAACAGTGGTGAAACTGATGTTCCCAACCAGTTTATCTGCAGGAAAACTTAAAGAGACAAGCTCTAACAAGGAAAAGAATTCTGCCTGTTCCAGCCCACCCTCTCTCTCTGTTGAAGTTTTCTGTATTCTCCTCAATTCAGGACAAAAATGGCAGTAATATCTCTTATGGAAGGAAAACAAAATGTGTTACAACTGTCTGCCTACCCTGTAAAATTCATAGAAAAGACAATTCCAGGCTGTGTCAACCACATTAGCCTTGACTGCAACAGCATATACTTTAAATTATAGCATTCTCAGTCACAGGATTCTCTTGTTTAAAATACAGAGTTGCAACTAAAACACAGAAAAAGAGTTAGTGATGAGTCCCTGACAAAAAGCCTTCCCACATCTGCAAAAGGAATGCTGTTCCACTCGTTTTCCCATGGTTCATTTTATATTGACTGACTTGACTGAAAATGATTACAAAGAACCTCTCTTGGTACATGTTCAAATTGAAAGAATGTGAAAAAAAATCTTTCCTGTTTACCATGTGAATGGCTGCTACAGCATTTCCCATAGCATCATTATTCCTGGGGAATATCTGTGTCAGAACTGTTTTGTCAGATGGAAGTTAGGTATCAAACAAAATGGGAGCTCAAAACAAATCCTGCGAACTCTGTTTTACTGTGACTGAAAGCTAGCAGCAAAAGGAACAAGATACACAAAAGGCTTCATCTATGACACAGACTTGTGTCAAGGTCTTGTCAATGAAAAATCATCTTGAATTCACCCTGTAGTCCTTTCTTGTCACTTCCTAAGCAGGTTCATAATACAGCTCCAGCTTCAAAAGAAAGTACCAGGATTCCCAAATACATTCATTTAATCTATGCCAACATGAAGACACCATCAGAAGCATTTTAGAAAGCTCTTGATAAGCATTACATTATGCTTCTGTGAGGCCGATAGTGATTTTGCATGAGAGCCTTATGCAATTCACAGGAAAATTTACTGTGCAGGAAGGCTGGGGAGCTGAAATTTCTGATCAGCTTCCTTGGTTTAGGCTGACCAGTGGCTTCCCTACATGCGTAGCCCATCTTTCATTTCCCATTAGCCCTCAACTTACTCTCATATGACACAGCATTAATTTCATTCCAAGCCTTTCAGGTATATAATACTGGATGGAAATTATTTGTCTGAGGGCAGGAAGAAACTAAGATCTCCTTTGCAAATTCCAGCCTATTAACTCAGTTGTCAGTAGACACTGTTCTCTACTTTACATAAACTTTGGAAACACAGCCCTGCAGAATAGCTTCACACATTTAATTTCCAATTACTGGGAATAAATTCAGCTGATAGAAGTTAAAAGGATAGAAGAGGCTGTAGAGATGCTAGTCTGTTCTACTCACACAGTCCTCAAAGGGGAAAAAAGAAGAAAGAATTTGCTCTACCATAAAATTCATAGCACAAAAAGAGCAGAAAGTAAAAAGGAGGAAAATAGGAAGTTGTCAGATGACTGGAGCTGATTTAGATAGTTCAAAGGATCCAAAGAATTATTTTTAGCACAGCCTGCAACAGGGCCTGTGAAATGGTTGCAGAACAGGAACTACACAGGTATGGTATCCAAACCAATTTGCCATTGGCACTCAAATAGAAATCAGTAAAAATTTAAAGCAAAATTTGTTACAGTGTTTGTTTCTAGGACTTTGAATTTTTTTAAGATTTTATGTCACTGCAGCAGCTCAAACGTTAAAGTTGCAGCCATATATGGAAGCTTGAAAGCTTTCATTGTGATTTCTTAATCTTCCCCTCACATCCAGAGAAAATGGAAAAGGAGATACTCATCAGCAGCACACAGCATCAGGGCATCACAGCCCTGTGGTATTTTTCCTCACCTAACAGGAAAGTAAATATCTTTCTCTACATATATTTTGAATTCTAAACTGCACATAGGCAGGAGTATTTCCCAATATGCATAACACACAAAAGAGGAAAGTGTTTAGAGGCTCAAATAAATTAAAAAAAAATGCCCAAACTATACAGTGTTTAGCAATTGCACAAGGCTATAATAGAAATCTGTCACAGAACTATTTTGTTCCTTCAAGTCCATAAGTAGCACTGCAAACAGATGTCCATTGTCTTTCCAAATGAACTGAAAATATTCTTCTCCACCATCAATACATTTTCATGTTCAGAAGAAAAGCACATCTGCTAGTCTTTTTCCCACACCGCTCATGCAAGAAACTACATTTTTTTCATCAAGGTGGCTTTCTTTTTGTCTCAAGATACATTATTTTACTTACTGATATTGAATATGCTTCTCTTTTCACAAGACAGTAGCAGAAAACAACTTGGACTTCACTAGCTGGAAATTAACATTAGCTATCATACCACTTCTATTCTTTATGATGAACTTGTTCATCAAAACTATCCATATTTGCACTGTACTGTATCCACTGACAATGCTACTTACATTGATGGTAAAATTTTCAGAGGCTTGTGACAGATTCTGACTCATTCAGGTGTTTCCAAAAGGTTTTCAGTCTTCTTTTCTTTCTTTATTTATTTTATTTGCTTTTGTGTTTGTTTTTTTTTATTTTACAAACATTTTGTTAATTTCCAATGGGCTAATTAAGTAGTACTTATTAACAACTGATGGTGTTTCTAAAAGAAGCAGAAATACAACTAAAGAAACAGAAGGAACACTACAAACATTCTCACCTGTATTCACAGGGCCTGCAATGCTGTAAAAAAGAAAAACTATTAATGCCAGCTGCATCTTAACAGATGATATGGTGAAAATCATTTCGTTCTACAAAAAAAATTAAAATAAATAAAAAGGAAAAAAAGAAAATCTTTACCTGCTACAATTAATTTTTTCATGTTTCTTGAGTCTCAGATTTCTCATTTCTTTTAGATTTTTAAACAACAGGTATAATACACACATGAGCTACCTTCTGATGCATTTCTCTGTAACCTATTCCTGACCCAAAGATCTTCATCTTTGTAAGCAGCTTCTGTGGTACAGTTAGCTTTTCCAGAGTGCTACTGAAACACACTGCAGAAAACTTTTCTCCCTAAACTCAGGAAGACAGACTATGGATTAAGGAAAGGGAGTTTCGCCCCTACTAATTGTCATCAGCAAAATAATAAGTACAACAAAGTAGGCTCCAATACTTGTTGAGCAGGTGAAATCCATTGATATTTCTGTCCTAAAGCTCTTGGATACTTCCAAATAAGACAAATTTAAACTTTCTCAAGACCAACAGCAATACTAATTTCCTCAACAAATATCAATAAGCTTATGTTAAGGTGCTTTTACATTTATATTTTCAATTATCTACAAGGGAATATAGCCAGGCTTGATTTTTGTACATTTCTGATGACGTTCTTCAACAACAAAGAGCTAAAAATGCTAAGGAAAGCACACCAAATGGACAGTGACCATCAACAGCAAAGCACCTTGATGTGCTACAAGAACTAAGTCTTCACAAAAAGCAGGAAACTTTGAAAAGGCATGTGATTGACTGCCACCAATTTTAAAATCTTGTCCAGAAAGTCATTAAAAGTACTAATTAATTGTGGAAAATACTAATTAATCGTATTTAGAGAAACATTCCTCTTCTATTGTCTTTCCCTCAAAATAATTCAGAAAGTTTTAAATTTAAAGAACAAACTCTAAAAAAACCATTAAATGTCTGTGCAGTTTTTCTCTCATCACAAAAGCCGATCCTTGCAGCAAACAGAGCTTTCCAGAAGGACTGGTCACAAGAGTATATAGTAAGTGGAGAAATAACAGATTTCATTCTCTCCCCTTTTATCCGCTATTTTTAAATTTAATTTTTAATGTGTTCAGAATTTTGCTTTACAGCTCTCTGAACCTACCTTGTATTTTCAGCATACTGGAAGCTGCTAAAGCCCTATATTGCTTTGGACTAGACCTTATAAATTTGGGTGCAGAATATTGTTTTTTTTATAATTCAGCATCTGAGTATCTCAATAATTCCCAAAGATTCTGTCACAGCTGCACTGACATTAGACAGTGTCAAAGCAAGGATGGAAGTTGTCCATTAACAGCAAGGTAAGCTCCTGGCAGCAGGAGGGCAAACAGAAAAGGAGATGCCTTTGCAGTTTGTGACAACGTGAACCTGTATTAGGTGATAAAACTATATTGAAAAAAAGTCTTATGTTGGGAAAAGATACCTTAAGCAGGAAACTGCAAACACAGGGAGCCTAGTCAAAAGACTCCATCATGTTTTGAATCACTTTGTGCTGTGATTTACTTGTGGTATAAACACATATATGCACACACATTCCCATCCCTCACTTGTACTCCCAATAATAGCAAAAATAAACATGAAAAATAATATTAAAAAACTCTGTATTCAGTAATATTCACACCAAAGTATATGTATAGATATATCCATTAAAATTATGAACATTTCTAAATATATTTTATGTATCATACATATATTTATATGTATAATTACATATCCACAGAAGTCGTCTTGCTGTGCTAAAGCCAGCAGTAAAAGCAAAAACAGGTTTCACAATAGGACACCCATATATGCATATGTACTGGCTGTTTGGTTTGTGAATTTATTTACAACTTAGCTATATCATAATAAATGCTTACTGTTCTATTGTACAAACGTAATAGTAAAGGTTTAGGTTTGTTTTTTAAATACAAAGACTGCAAATGAATACATGAAAAAAATTACACACCATGTACAGTATTTATAATTTATAAATGCAAAGTTAAGACCTCTTTAAAGTATTGCACTTGCATATTTTTTACAAAGATAGTTTATATGTATCATATATATATATATGTGTGTGTAAATATATATATATATAAAACAAATTTTTCAGCTCACTAAATGTAGTAAAGTTGAATGTTGTTACCTTGAAGTTCTTTCTTCTCCACATAACAGCCCAACCTGAATTTGGAATATTTATGAAACTACTCTACAAATCAGTTTGATCTACCCTAGAAAGCAGTCCATTATTTTAGGTTTATTTGAGTATACACCCGTATTACAATCGAGCACAGTTTTTGGTCAGAAAGCAAACAAAAGTTATGATGTGCCTTTGCTAGACTGGGATATAGAACCTAAAGTTTGAACATTGACTTCTTTGTAGTAGTGTGCAGAAAGCCTTTTCTGCATTTAGAAAGAATAAATTAATTGTTCTACTTCACAGAACTGGTCCAATATCACAGTGTTTGAGGCAAATGCATTATTTCAAAAGGGTCATGACTGATTTGAGCATCTAATAATCTCCATTTTTTAACATGAATAGTGCTTTTTGCTACTCCTACAATTTTAACACTATATGCTCCAAGTGCAGTCACAGCAAACTGATCACAGTTTCAAGTTTATAGACAGGAAAAAAATCTGTGCCACATAAAAAGATGATTTCTGCTCTGCATGTCCCCTCCAATTTAATATGCTTGATCATATACTCCAGCTAAAAAAACCCTGTTTAATTTCTCTAATGGTTACTCATAGAAAAAAAATACTGCCATGAGTTGAACCATTACAGTAGAATATTGTAAAAGCATCCAAAATTTATAAATTAATTGTAACAATGGAATTTATCATGCTGTAGTAAAATATGCAACATCTCAGATGAGTAACATGCTATGTCAACTATTTTTCTCACTTAGTGCATAACTTTCAGGCACCTTTTCATAATACACTAGAAACACTGTTACAGCTTCAAACAGTGTTTTTACCTTCACAGGGCGTAGGAGGGAAAAGCAACTAGAAGTATTATCAAGAAAAACGCAATTCTAAGAATATAAAATCTAACACTTCTAGGAAAGGAAAGATCTGTTAAGCTTTTTATACATTCTTTAGGGCAAGATGAGTTTTAGTAAACTAAAAATGCAAGGACTTTTGACAATTTAACTTAATGAGTCAGATGCCTAACAAACCTAGATGTCTTAATCAATTGAGAGTTTGAGTCCAGAACTTTGACCAATTAAATCTCAACATCTCTTTGATCCATGAAATTCAAATGCAGCTCCAAAGTTCTTACTTTTGGTGGATTTGACTTTGAAAGTGCAGGTACAAGTATTTTTTTTTTTTTTTCAAAATATTTACACATATGAACCTGTGCTCTATAAATGCTAAGACGGACTACATTTGCTTTAAAAAAACAGCTCATCATGACTATTTTTTTTTTGGTCTAGGTCCTAACAAGGAGTAATGTTTTGTCATTACCTTCCTCCTTTTACACACCAGGAACTCAAACCAAATCACAGCCACTGGAGCCAAATTTTTAAATTTGTAATAGACATTATACTATAGCAAACATATATTTTAAGTGGTTTGGGTAGTTTTATAATAGAAACAGTAACTAATTTACTTGAGACATTAATAGAACAACTTATTGCAAATTTGACAAATTTGCCAGGGAAACATGTGCTCTCTCAGTACTTACAAACTTCAAAACATAACATAGTGTGTGATACTGTCAAGCATTTTTAATGGTAGGAAACAGAACTAGTGAAGTTATCTTTATTGTCAGTGAGTAAAAGATGAGTGAAAAGCTTTCCATACACACAGATAGAGTGTGTTAAGGAATACTTTTGCAATGCTTTTAAGATCAGCATTTTTATATGGAAAGGGGGAAAAAGGGAAAATGTCAGCAATATATTTAATCCAAATATACTTAACCTGCGAAGAAAAACATTCCATCCAGTTGTTGGGATACCTGAATTCCAAACAGCATTTTTGTAGTCACCATAGATTTAGATAATTTCCATGTAAATTAGGAACTGTGGATTCTGTCTCAAGTACTTAGTGGATGAAAGGTTGCATCTGCATTATTAGCTGAAACAGAATGGCTAAGGAGGAAAGTAGAGGACACAGCATGAGATATCATCCATTCTACTTTGCTGTAATTGTTTCCTGCTACATTTTTCTTTCTTTTTTTTTTTTTTTTTTTTTTTTTTTTTTTTTTTTTTTTTTTATCTTTTTTTTTTTAATTCCAACCAGTTTGCTGTGATTACCAAAAAAATTCTGCACTTAGAATTGGTAAGGCAAACTAAAAAGAAATAAAATATGGGGCTGCCGCTAGGTAACATGCATCATACAAATAAGATAACTTCATACTGAATTCTCAGCCTGAGGGATCTCTATGTACAGCAAAGGCTTAGGTGCATTTATACATTATGCGACTACGATCACGCACTGTACACATAAACAGATACTGGCATGTGCTCGACCATAACAGAAGGCAAAACTCAAGAGGCCAAGTTGTTCACATGAAACCCAAAAGCTGGCATGCCTATTAGAGCAATAGAGCCCAAAAGACAGGAGATGGAAAAAGAGAACCTGTGTTCTGTCTGTAGGTCACTACTGTTACTCATTGCAATTACACAATGGCCATGTTATCATGGAACCTCCACAAGAGTGCATTATCTGTGAACAAGCACATAATGCAGTATAGGCTGTATGTGAAAGGTATGCAAAGACTCTGTTTTCATCTACTGTGTGGATCACAGATTTTTTTTCTCATTTTTTAAGAGAAAGACAAAGGCAAATTAAGTGTTGTGAAACATATTCTGTACAATTGCACTAAATTTATAAGTGTGGCATTACATGTAAGTCTGCGCATAAGTTTGTAAGGCCGAGGCCTAAGTCAGCACAGAACTGTAAACACATAATTTAGTGTACTTTTCTTCAGTCATCTATTCTTTCACTAAGAAAGGCATTTCTAAACCTGGAAATTTCTCTAACTAGGGGGAAAAAAACAGACAAATGGAGAACTTTCCTAATTTCACTCATCTTGGGATGGGGGGAAAAAGCAGTATAAGACATGCAGTGTTACTGTGCAACACAAAAGCTAGTCAATACAAAAAACATTTTTGATTTATTGTGATGGTACCACAATCCCTCTTATCAGACCTGACTTTTCTGATGAGGCTTTTGTTCCCAGCAGATAGCATACTTCAGGTATGTCTTCAATGCCTTTTAAAATACAACTCAGCAGGTAGAAATAAAAATCATGACCTTACTTAATTGTGAGCTAGGCAAGGAAAATCTTTCCTGTCACATTTCAATTTTATCCAATATTTCTGTCACTATGGGTACAAAAACTCCAACCTAAAATTCCCTCTCATATCAGAGATAATTAACCAGTACTTCCAGTGTTTTAAGGGAGGAGTTGTCTAGTTTTAAAAAACATCCTAAAGAACAAAGCACCATCACTAGTTCTATCAACATTTCCCTTGTGAGTGACAGACAATTGGCATCATGATGCTTAATGAAGTACTTTAAAACTTTAACCTGAATGTTGGTTTTCCTTTAGTTTGCAGCAAGAGAATTCACTGTAACCTAAGCATAAATTATAATCTCCAAGGATTCTGCTGGAGTTCAAACTGATTACAAGTAGATCACACATAAACATTCACAATAGCAATGGGTATATTGTTCTATTTATAGCCAAGAACTCCCAAGTGACACTGGTGTTAAAGCCAGCCACAGTACTGTATAATAAAAGTACCATTGAAACCCTTACTAGAAAGATACAATTTAGAAGTACCCCATAAGATTCCCCCCCACCCCCATCAGTTTTAAATTAAGGCCTCAGCAATGTAGCCCATGAGATAAGGCCAGTCTTTTATATTCACAAGTTGTAAGTTCTCTTCTGATAGCTGACTCCAAAACATCTGGGTTGTCATTTTCCCTCTATTTACGTTGTGTCACTGGTGTAGGTCAGGAGATTGGCTGCCAGAGTCATTTAGCTGAGGTAACTCCATAGGTGTTACCTTCCTAGGCAGGTCTACTTCTTAGCATTTTGCAGCTTTCCTTTTTGCTTTTTCTCTTTTTCAAATAAAAATGAAACAAAACAAAAAACAGTCCCCAAAACAAGAAGGGGTGCTTTTCAGGTTAAAGCAATCTGTTACTGCTGTTCAGTCATCAATCTTCACAGGAAGAGAATCTGAAGTCCCAGGAGCAAGGGATTGAGAAGAAATCCATATAGAGGCTTCCTCACCTCTCGTTACTTTCTCCCATTGGTTAAGATTGTCCCTGGAGATGCAAAAAATTTAAGGTAAGACACTGTTCATAAGTTGACTGGGATTTATTGTTTCCTCACAATAATGTCTGCTGTACTATACTTTGAAACCTATATTTATATGTCTATTTATATTAGTACCTATATATCATCAAGCTTTTATCATCTACACATTATTTCGGCCTTCAGCTTCAGTTATCCCATTTTGCAATTCCTTAGAACTCATATCCACGTCAACTCTATCCTAGCCTACAGTACACCTTCCTTCCCCAAGGCAAGCCCTGAAACTAGAGGCTACCACCTGCTTCCACAACAAATTTACAGCCCTCATGGATGCAGGAAAACCCAGCTGTGACCCAAGAGAGACATGACTGCAGAGACTCTGAAACACTGGAGCACTCTGGAGCACAGGAGCAGATTAAGCTTTCTGAAACTCCTGCAAAAGGGCTGCCTGACAGTATATAAAATGTTGCATGCCAGGATCATAGTATCAATTTTCAAATACTATTTGGTAATAATATTATCAGTCTACTACATTTAACGGGTACCCCTTCCTTGAGACATAAATGTCTTTTAGTGCCTCACAGCCTGGCCAAACCTTAAGTTCAAAATTCTGTTCATAAGCCATAAAATGATGAGAAATCAAGCTGGTAATATTCTAATGATCTGAAGAGGGTACAAACCCATAGCCTTACTTGCTGTACACCACTCTAGTGATTGGAAAATCTGTGTTGATGATAGGCTTTGCAACCAATAGCCAAAACTCAGCATTCAGTTTTCAAACACAGAGAAAGAGAGCAAACCCAACGGTTCCATCTTCATACTGTCAGATCCCTAGTTGCTAAAGCAACAGTTCTTAGATGCCTTTGGTAAACAAACAGGATGGCAACAGTACTGAAAGGTCTCCCATGGTATGTTATACCATGATATTACATCGGAATTTACACAGCAGAGCTCTTCTGATTCTTATGTCATAGCCTTGTCAAAACATTTGCTAAACCTGCACAGCATACAGGTAAGAAGAGAAAATGTTGCATTTTCTGAGGGTGGTGGAAGGCAGGATCTGATGAAGTCTACCAAAGAAGACTGGTGCCCTCTAGGGTAACACCTACACCAATTTCTGTAGGAAAATGCTCTGCCAGTGCTTCAGGCCTGCTGGAACTTATGAAGCCACCATTAGTAAGGCATTGAGCCTCAGCTAATACAATCAGGCACTAAGGATACGAAAAAGTGAAGCATCACTATTTCTGTCTCCTTCCTGGACCTGGGAAAGTAACAAGAATTTCAGCCAAAATATTTTTAATTAATATAAATTTCATTAAGAATTGATAGACCCAAAAGAACAAGGAAAATAGTTTTAAATTACTTGGTCTGAAAGAAAGGAAAAAAAAAATCATTTCATCCTCCAAATAAATACACTACTATATATTTATACTTTGGTAGACCTACTGAGTACATGTAACGCAGGTTGGCTAATAGTTTTGATCTACAGAAAATGACAAGAAAGCATTTAAAAATGTGGAATAAATTACCAAATGAAAAAACCTTCTAGACTGTTAGCTAGTACCTTACTTTATGGAAAACCAGTGTTGGATTTCTCTTTTTTTTCTTTTTTTTTCTTTTTTTTTTTTTTTTTTTTTTTTTTTTTTTTTTTTTTTTTTTTTTTTTTTTGTAAGGTATAGATAATATGATTCATTTGCCTTTGAGCTCCCAATGAAGCCCTGGCTCCTAATGTCTGGAATAAATGCCCAGAGGTTCTAAAAATAAAAGCCTTGATGCTGACATGCTGCCTTGGCTGCTTTTGCTGCTATTATTTGCAGCTGGTGTCCGAGTTTCGAAGAACTCAAGGACACAGCAGCTTAAATACTGTGTTCAAGAATGAGCCCTGCTGGTGAAGAGGTGATATCAAAATTGGTTCAGTCAGCAACTAAGGAAATACCAAACAAAAATGAGGCTGTATGCCTCTGATCACACCAAAAAAGTTACACATCACAAATAAAGGAAAAACAAAAGTGTAGTGCAAAATCAGCCATTTAAAACACTCTGGAATATTCTAGACCCTGAAATAACATCAATCTTTTCTAAATGGGCACCTGAAGTTATATCTGTGTTCTGATTTCCTGCTCTCCATCTCCAAGTCTTAACCCTCAAACTTCTTCATTCTCTTCAATGAAAAAGCAGAGGATATTTTCAAGGCTAAGATAAAACTACCAAACTGCTCCTCAGAAGACTTTATTTCAGGATGTGGATTTTCTAGAAGCTCCTTAGTCCTGCAGAGGCTTTATCTATTCAGCTACCTTTAGTTATGCTTTAGCACAATCTAAATTAAAGAATACACAACAGCAAGACACGGAACTGTGTCGAGACTGTGCCAGTGTAGCATTCAGCAGTATCATTATAACAATTTGAATTACAAACAACAAGCATAATTTCTGGAATAGAAAAAATCATATAATCTCTGCCAGGAGTCTGATTGCTTTTACTTCAGACATCACACCTTCTACAGAGAAACCAGCTCTGGAAAAGATGTTCATGCTTGATCTTCAGAACTAGGGAGAACCTTTGTCTAGAGCACATGCTTATGTGGGTGTTTGATATCCACAATTCAACTTTAAATATCCTCATTTGAGTTCTAAAAGATGAGCCACCAAGTGAAACAGGCCACTTTGCAAATAAGCCTCATTGGGATATCCACATGGCCAGAAATCAAAAGATATGTGTCTTCCCAGATGGTTGCTCCTGTAAAAGATACTGTGCCATCTTAAGCCCTCCAACCAGCCAGTTTCCATTAAAACTTGATTTATTAAAACTTGATTTTGATCAAGTCTTTACTGTGAGCATGGTGAGGCATTGGAACAACTTGCCCAGAGAAGCTGTAGATGCCATATCCCTGGAAGTGTTCAAGGCCAGGTTGGATGAAGCTCTGGGCCCTGTTCTAGCAGATGTCCATTCTCACAGAGGGGAGACTGAGCTAGATGATCTCTTCCAAGGGATCTTCCAACCCAAACAATTTTTAGATTCTATAATTTTCTTGGATAAACCAAATACATTATTTAATCTCTCTCTACTAAGATCTCAAAACATTCCTTCAGCTCTTTACATTCTCTCATTTGTTCATGTCTTTATGTACTCTTCTTAAAGCATAGACATTAAACAAAATTCCAGCTGTAGCCCCATTAATATAAAACCTCCAGAGATATAATCTCTAATTCTTCTGAACAGTCCTTCTATATCCATCTAAAGGTTGCACAGCCATGCCCAGCAAAGATACCTTAGAGGCAGCTGAGCTGACTATTAATGATGGCTCCTAGATAATCACTGTTCTCATAGGGTAGTCTTCTGTACCACTGACAGACCTACATATTCTTCTCACAGCTATATGAAAGCGTGTTTTTGTGTGAATGAAATTGTTTTGCTAAAAACTACATTAATTTCAAGGCATTTGTCTGTTACTTAACAGAAATAATTTAGTCCACAAAATCCACAAGAGGAGGTCATAAAGGATAAAGTTCAATGTTAAATAGAACTTAGGGACTACAACAAAACAAAAAAATGTGAGAGAATACTAATAAGAGCATAGAAAAACAGACCTTTAACCACTGGAATTTTATGAAATATCTGGGGTTTTCTAGAAAATATGGATTAACCTGAAACCAGAACATTTTCATTAAGTATTCACTGGTTTCAGCAAAATTTTTGTCAGGAAAGATTGCTAAGGCCCAGGATATAATTACTGGACAGAACTACCTAGAAAGCAACCAGCCATCATTCAAGTGGAGAAGCAGCCAACAAGGACTCTTGCCTCTTTTCCAGAACAACCCAAGCTCCATACCCACTGTGTTATAGGAGAAAGTTACATTTGCTTCACCCATACTCCAGTGTTACGACTCCTATGCTCTCAACTACTGAATTTTTTCTGGATATCTCTTTTTCTGGTTTTTAATAGAAATCATCTGATATGAAATAAAACCACGTTTTTTAAACACACATTTTTTAAGTAAAAAGAATACTGGCCAATTTTTGTTGTGGGAACCACACTGAAGTACAAAGCACACAGAAAGAAATTACACTGAGCCAGCACAGACAGGGATACACAAGCACTGAACTGTTTCTCTCTAAATGCTTTTGGCATCTAACACATTTTAATCAGCTGTGTCTGTAGTGGACAGGCCCTGACAGTAGTTATCGCCTCTGGGCTTCTGAGTAGATTAATGTGAGATGTGTATCCCTGTTAATATTAATGCAAATTCTAAAAATAAAAATCTGTATTTCCAGACAAACTTGCAAAGCACTCTTGCCTTTTCCTTGACCAAGGAATCAGCTATGCACATTTACTCACCTGCATGCTCGGAGTAGTGGCCCAGTTGGAGGAAAGATCTGTGCAAGGGTGGTGTAACATGGGATGGCTACAGCATTGTAGAACCCAATCTATGAAAAACAAGAATGAAAAAAAAATAGTTTAATTGTTGCCAAACTACAATACTGGAAGCTAACAGCTCAAAGCTCTTTACCTAATTACTCTTGTATTTGTTATTCACATTTCTGCATCTTCCTTTAACATCCGAATGCTTTAAAATAAGCAGCAACAGTGAAATCTTTGGTAATTACAAGCTGCTTACATGCCTTTCTTTTATGACTGATATGGCTGCCTCAGGTAAGGTTTTCTACAGAACCTTTTATTATTCAATTGATTCATTTCTTTTGTTCAGGATATGTCTACCTGTTTGGTGTCAGTAGCAGCGGGAAGTAGGTGGAGATGTTAGAGACATTTCTGCAAACATGATTCATGTGATGATTTTACTTTTTAAAAAAGGAAGGTTGTGCAGCATTCACAAAATATGGTTAGATTGTGGATTGTTCTGATGTTCTCCGGGGCATGCACTGCATAGCTCAATGTACTTAAAATGCCGGGGTCTTTGCACATTTGTGAATGGTGTGCAGTGTGATCAATGATTGGTTTGCAATTGCTTCTCATGTACACAGTTCAATAATACATCTTTGCCATTATCATATTTAGGGAAAACCAAATGAGCGGATTTTTAATGATATCTGACTCATAGAGGGTTAGCGGCCTGTGATGACTATGATGTCACAGCTGAATTGTCATGATGAAATTTTTAGAATATATATTATCAAGGATGACAGATTGCATTCAGATTCATTATAACATCCCTCACTTATCCCAGACTCTTATGATAGTTACAATAGTAACTATCCTTTCGTTTGGGCAGAATTTTTAAATGCCTTCTAATGAAACACTATGTATTGTACCATGACCAAGCATTTGATAATATCTCTTTTTTTAATAATCCAAACTTTGATCCTTATTCAGAAATTGAAGAGCAGCTCTTGTTTTCATCAACACAAAGATTCATCCCATACTGCTATGTAACCAAGTCTTCTGTGTTCTTTAAATAAAAATAAGACACATTTTCTGAGCTGTGAACCCAGATGAAGTACCTATAGGGATGAAGTACTTACAGTGCAACCAACAGAAAGAAACTGCAGCTGGTTAGAAGGCAAAGCTACAGACAGATGGGATGTCTGCTCATCCACACTATTTCATATACTGCCTCATTTTCTTCCCATTTGTTTTGGATTTTTTCTTTTCTTCTTGTTTGCTAGTTTTTAAGGGGAACTATTTTATTTCAGTGGAAAAAGATTACTCTGTATTTGTCAAAAACCAAAATAGGACATTAGATACAGCCACCCTGTAGACCTTCTGGTTCAATGAAAATCACAGAATCAAAGAATATGATGCGTTGGAAGGGACCCTCAAGGACCATCAAGTCCAACTCTGCATAGGCCCATCCCCAAGAGTCACACCATGAGCATTCTCCAAACACTTCTTGAACTCTGTCAGGTTGGTGCTGTGACCACTTTCCTGGAGAGCTGTTCCAGTGCCCAGCCACCTTCTGGGTATAGAACGTTTTCCTAATATCCAGCCTAAACCTCCCTGACACAAATTCAGGCCACTCCCTTATGTACTGTCACTGGTTGCTGCAGAGAAAAGATTAGTGCTGGACCATCCTCTCCCCCTTCCCCTCATGAGGAAGCTGTAACTGCAGTGAGGTCTCCCCTCAGTCTTCTCTTCTCCAGGCTGAACAGACCAAGGGACCTCAGCTGCCTCTCATGAGGCTTCCCCTCAAGGCCCTTCACCATCTTTCTTACCCTCCTTTGGACACTAAGGGCTAGCTAAGCTAAGGGCTGAAACAACCACTTACTAAGGGCTGAAACAACCACTTACTAAGATAAAAAGCATTATTGACACCTGTAAAAATTCAAGGTGATTGTGGTCGTAGCTAGAGCTACAAGTACAAAGAAAGGAAAAAGCGATAACAGCAAAGAATACACCAATTAACCAAAATTTAAAAACAAGTTTTCCACTGCTACTTTAAAAAATAACATCAAATTCAGCAGTCTGAATAACCTAATTTCAAAAGTAATACTCATTAATACATGAAATTATTTTTTCCATACATATTTTATGTAATAAAAAGTACCATTTTATTGAGAGAGTTCATACCTGACCCTGAGGGACTTCATCTTTCTTATCTCTGTCCATCATAGGAATAGGCTGAATACCTGTTTTCTTCATTTCATCACCCTTGAGAAAAGTAGAGAGAGAGATATTAAGAAAACAAAAACAAGACTATTGAGACCTGAATTAATTTCCATCTTCTATTCTATGTCAATCTAAAAATCCAGAATTTAAAATAATGTGTGGTATCACTCTAAGGCAATCTCAGAAGTATGCAGAAGGAGAGGCTCATTTTGTACATTCACCTAAGTGATAATGTAAACAGCAGATGCTTCAAGTCAATGTACACATATTTTCCTTATTAGTGTGTCTCCATCATAAAAAGCAACTGGAAGACTAAACCCAAAGAAATCATTCTATTCTACTCTACCTGCTCAGTTAGTCTCATCTTTCAAAATACCTGTTTAAAGCACATAATACAATGACAAGTAGAACACAACTCACCCATCTAAAGAAATACTGAGTAAAGCAGATAAATTTACAGTGTACCCTCTTTGTCAAAAATTTTGTCTTTTCAGTATATATCAATATATCAACATCTACCTCTATTAACTCATGCTTACAAAATAGTAACATCTGGACAGGCACAATTATGTCCATAATTCCATCTTTACTATTTTTGAGTATGGAAAATCAGTTTCATCCTTCCTTCTCCACTGAGCTCACAAGATTTGCATTCAAAAGCAAATTTATAAGCAAAGAAGCTGAGTATGTAATCAGTGAGTCTTGTCAATATTATACCTCCATTCTACCACTCATAAGAACACTCACTTTCCAGTGCAGGCATTTCAGAAAGTGAGTGCTGAACTAGATCTTTGAGCTTACACAGTCACCATTTTTCAAATATTTTGTTGTAGTCTGAGCTGTTTACAAGAGAACAAGAATATGTGAATATGAAATACACCCAACAAGAAGCACACATCTGGAATTTCACAATGAACATGCAACAGGCAAGGTAACAATCTCCACACTAAATGCATGCTACATCAACTCCATGGGCCTGATTTCTATTTTATGCCTGTGTAAAACAGAAATAGGCCCACTGAATACTGCAAGGCTCCACAGGGCACATAACAGAAAAGAAAAACACTTACAATAGCAGTCCTGAAAATACAACTGTATCTCCTAAAGTTTCATAACTTTGCTCTATGCAATTTATTCCTTATCCCAGAGCAGTCACTTTCACTTAAAAATGAAATAATTAGGATATTTACACCTCAGAATATGACATGTGAGAGACTGCATATATATTTGTGAACACGATTACATACTACAGCTTAATTCCTTGATCCAATTCTCAGTACACATTAATTTTAGAGTAACTTTCCATGTATTGAAGACCTAGCTCTCTCTGAGACACTATTGTTGAGAGCTGGCTCACGACGAAGACTCAAAAAAAATTGATGTTTTTCATATTTACTTTAGCATTTTCTATACTCACACTATAGCTTTATAAATATGTTCCAAGGCAGCTGACCTGGAAGCTGATTTCATATTTTGCATCTCTACAAAAAACTACACTTAGTGACTACTTCTATGTTCTGTTGCTTGATCACTTTATGTTAGAACATACTTTCTACATTATCTTTAACAGACAGAAAAAACACTGCCAAAATATTAGATAACTCAGCTCTTTAAATAACTTCAGAGTAAGCAATGAACACACACATGCACCAGTGAACTCTCTTTAAAACAAGCACACCAAGATGTTGATTGAAAAATACTTATAGTTGGGCTTTTCCTTCCTGTATGCTTCTGTTTATAAGGAGAGTAAACAAAAGAACCACACATACCTCAGCCCAGAACTCTGCATATATATCATTGGCCGTCAGTCTGGTAACAGGCCACAGCTTGGTCACAGAACACAGATCACAAGCTGTCATCATCAGGCCAATCACTCTATCTCTAAAGCAGAATAAAACAACATTAAATTGTAAGTTTCATAAAGAATTAATGATTGCTCTGCAGAGCTTTCATTTGCCCTTCCTCAGCTGGATCAGCAGCAATGTATGCACACTATGAACTTTCTCCCATCTATTGTTAGTTCCTCATTTGTTTGATTCTTTGATAAGGAACGGCACAGACTCTGTACTGTATCCCTTATTGTATTCCCTACAGTGTTTACAACCAGAGTTCATTGACCATTCTCTACACAATCACATACATAGACAAGGGCACAGGATGCCTGCCTGTTAAAACACTCACATGCCTCTCTATAATTCTCTGAATATACAGTACAAGTCTATAAAAACAAAGATGGTATATGTAATTGCTGCATTTCTTTTGTTCTTTAAAGAGGGGGGGAAAAAAGCTCCTAAAAAGAGGAATGACTACTTCTGAGTCTGTCACAAGACACTGTCATTGCTTTGTTGGAATGAATGTAAACTCTGACAGTCCAAGAATCTAATGCGTAACTCTGTCCTATACAGAGTAACTGAACATCAGGAACTGAACATCATTATTAGAATAAGGCGCGCACACACACAAAAAAAATTCCTATTTAACCGATTTTTTAGCACAAATTTATGTTTTTTGAATCTAAGTTTTATAAGGAAAACTGGCAATTAATTTAAATTCACTTGTTTTCACCAAATGGAGAAGTTGAGATGGCACTTAAGGACACCTGCATCTTTGTTAATAATGCCTATTCCATTTGAAAAAGCACAGAGCTTGCTAACCTGCATGCCAGTGTGATGGCAGTCATTAAAACTGTGCCAACAGACAAATATACCAGATGAAATACACAAACACATAGTATAATCAATCAATAAATACAAAGTGCACTTCCCCTAAGTTAAGATAAAGAAGTCATCAACCATGTAAGGTCAATGCAAATATAAAGCAATGGCAATTACTGTTACATATGTTTAATTTTACACACTGTGGGTCTTAGAGATCACATATGTAAGAAAATTACCATTCAGAGGTAATCCATTTTTTAAAAAAATAAGATTTCTCTTTCTAGACTAATGCCATAGGGATCTACTGCTGTTTTGCTGCTTTACCTGTGTGTTTGGTTCTTAAGGTTTAATGCTCCTGTCTGATGAAGCTCTTCAAGTTGTTTTCTGTTTCCAAAATACAGGGCAAGGTCTGTGGCGATGATGGCTTTCCGGATGATCTCAAGTACTTGCTCATATTCACTGGAGCTCAGATTGGAGAAGACATTGTGCCCTTCCAGCTATGAAAAAGTAAAAAACCAATAAAAAGCACAAGCTCTAATTCAGAGACGATTTCAGTCTTTACTTCACCAGACAGGTTACGACAGTTTTACAGCCCAATGACAAGTTCTGTTGCAAATTCAAATGTTAATGGCCTGAAATTCCCATTTTTATTCTTCCTTTCTAAACACTGTCATGAAAAAAACTATGACTAAGCCACCAATTTGTTTCAGGGACTGCTCCTTCTGAAGCCCCAAGGTAATACTAGAGAAAAATTACTGAAATCCTTTTCTTTGATTTAAAATCACTATAGACACAACACTTCCAGATAGTTTTACCTTGGAAACTTGTAATTCAGTTCTGATACAGAGTCAAGTTGGTAAACTGACTACCTGATTCACTTAAGCATAGTTTTGATACTCCGTAATATACAGTATGGATAAAGAAATACTGAAGTTAAAAATACAAAATAATTTTGCTTTCCTTATGTTCCAAATGAAATGTGCCTGAAATCGCTGCATTTACTGACATAACTTTCTATATAAAAAATAAGTTAATTATTTGAATGTATGTGAACATTTAGGGGGAAAAGCTGCTTTGTTCAATCTGAAATTGAATGACTTGTAAACTGAAGATAAGAGTTTCTGTTATGGAGGCTCTGGTAACACACCACAGCCATCACTTTTCAATTTCCACAAGGTATTACTGCTCATTTAACTGACAATATGTACACACTGTGATCACTCAAGATGCTATATTACATTCTGAAAAATCAAGACTATCTGCTGTCTCTAAGATTTCAAAAACCACTTGTCAAAAGTCTTCCTGCTGTTGAGAGGAAGCAGACAAAAAGAAAAGAATGAGCTAGCCATGTCAAGGTGTGTATATTCAGAAGAAGAAAATATCATTAAAATATATCAAATGCAGAGGTGTTTTGACATTTAATTGGCATTTGGGCTGAAGCTCAAAAAGTTTCCCTGACTTTCATCAAGCATTTACATAATTTGCTCAAAATAAATCCTCTGCAGTACAAATAGGCTTGGTTTCTCTCACCATCCAGAACATAAACATCATTTTCCAGGACTTTTACTTAGGCAAGTAGATTTATTGTGAATAATGAATAGAAAATACAATCCGTCTATGTCTCAAGGCTCCTTTGACAGATTTCTAAGTCACAGAACATTATGTTTAAAAAAAATATCAGAACATTTTAATCCATCATCAGCACTTTGGGAGCAAAAAATTACTGCTGCTAGTTCCCACAATTTAGGGTTTTGGGGACCCTTTACTCTCCAGCCTTGCTGTCTAATTCCTGTGACCAGGCTATTTGTCCTAGTATTTAAATTATTCTAGATTCTACTCTTGGGCTTTAGAAGTTGCATTCTCAGAAAGACCACTGTGACAGCTTCTGTTCAGACTACTCAAAAAGAACTGATTCTGTAAAGTGTTGACAGAAGCTGACAGTTATGAGTTTGTGTCACTTAGGCTTTGAGTAGTATATACAATGAAGATTTTGTTCTTTGCCTGCTGAGCTACAGCTAGTGAATTGAATCCTGTGTCCTAAGTATGCTGTATGAATTGCAGGTGGATAAACAAAGCAGCTCTAAAGTCTCAAGCAGTTAAAAGTACTGCAGGTTACTAATGTAAAATTAAAACTTCGATAAACCCTAAAAAGCTTAGTGGGTTGGTTTGACTTTTTTTTCATCAGTCCATTAATTCAATAAGACTTTTTGATTCAAACAAAATCCAGCAAGTACAAAAGGCTGCTCTAGTCTGCCTTTGTTGCTAATTACCACCCATGGGTGCTTCAGCAGCTGGCGTCTTGAATCCACTCTACAGCCCTGGCCACTTATCCCCCTTTCCTCACTCACATTGACGGCAAATGCAGGAGGTGCCAGGGAAGCAAATGGGTTCCCTGCCTTCATGGCAAATGGGATTTTCATTTATTACATTTCTGCCAGAAAAAAATGCAAAATGGTTGGGACAGTGAAGCGTTAATGACTGAGGAACATGCTCACTGTGCACAAATTCACACGAAGAATGAACACTAAACATCTAATGCCATACCACCACTGAAGGATTCAATTACACCCTCCTACATGAAAGAGCATTTAGAGATGAAGCTTCCATTCTGTGATTAAAAGCATATGATACCTAAAACCATAATCACAAGATGTGATTCTGAACACAAGACAGAATATGTATTTTTCCTAAAAGGTGATTACATATTTAAGAAAATAAATATCTTCCCCTGAAAAACCCGACAGAAAGATAGATTAAAAATGAATCAGTGGCACAGTAGCAAGGTTAGGCTGTAATATGAGTGTGCATGGAAAACTAAAACTAGTGAGCACAGTTATGGACTGGCAGTAGTTTCACAGGTAAGAGTTCTCACTAATTTAGAATTATAAAACTTTCACTCATGAGAAAATATGTGTGTGTCAGTAGCACACCTGATTTTCCCAAAAAGCATCTGCTTGTTTTCTTGCAGTTTTTTTCTTCATTAAACATAAAGACATATGACCTCATACTCTCTTCCACAGAATATTACCTTACTCGGGTTTTTTTAATTTCAAATTGCCGAGTAACAGATAAGCACAGAATAACATAATGAAATAGGTTTACAATTTTCATGCATGAAAAATTACCATATGCCCTTTCATGCCACACATTTAACATTCACAGAATTTATTACAGCGGGTTTTCAGGTTTCTCATACAAAGTTTTGCCAGTACTTGAGTTTTATTCAAAATTTCAGGATGGTCAAAGACTGTTGAAATATATTATGACAAAAAATATATATGTATCTGAAAAAATTATTTTTCATTTTCAGAGTTCCTATTCTATATGGTCATTGGAAAAGCCTCCAGAGAGCCAGAAGCAAAAAGCTTCAAAGGCAGGCCATAAGTAAAGATCTTCAAATACACAATATTTTTTATAAGTTCAAGATTTTGAGAAAGCTGTGTTTTGCACTCTTGTTGAATCCTTGGGTTGCTAATTGTGAAAACTGGCTTGCTGTAATAAATCTTCTGCTCTTCTATAAATGAGTACTATAATAAAGAAATTAAACTAAGCATGCTTCAAAAAATCTACTTGGTAATGATGTGACTCCTCTTTCCACCACTGGACACTAATGCACAGAACATACAATTTCAATAATCCTACCTGCAGGATGGACACAGTCTGCGAGAAGTGGTGCTGTTCCATCGTTGATGTGGAATAGAGAGCAGCTAAGGGGTGATCAAATTTCTGAAGATAGCTGTTGCTGTAACCTCTGTGATCCAGGTCATGACACAGGCATGCAACTAAAAGACCCTTTCGCTACAAAAAAAATTGACACAAGCATGAAAAGCAAGATGTATTTCCTGCCCCTAGATGTCACTCTCTACCCAAAATACTGTAGAAGTTGCAGTATCCTAACACTGCCTTCAAACAGCACATGTGGAAATATCCTTAAAAATGAGATAAACATGACAGTAAAAACATGCTGAATTAAAATTCGTGGTCCAAATGAAGTTATATTATGCATTTAAAAATCGTTGTTGGACAGTAACATGATATTGGATGAACTGTGCTTCAGAAGAAATCTGCATTTTAAACAGTCTGGTTATCTGCTGAATCCTTACCTTTAATGTTTATTAAAATAATAAAAAGCACAGTTATTGAGGGAGAAGAAACATACAAAATGTATGATCTGCTGGTCAAGACAGGTGCACTGCAGTTCAATACCAGATTTGCCTCTGCAACACTCCTAGAGATGTTAACTAAATCTTCTAGTGGGTTTTTTTCTAGGAAGTCACTAACGTGAGACATGGACAATGCTGGACAATGCAATTGTAAACAAATAAAGACAGTAAGTGGGTTTTTTATATAATTAATTGTTAATATCCTGAAGAACTGGAGTCCCTGAAATCTCTTTTCCAAAAGGTTTTCACACAGCTTAGTGTTTGGAAAAAAAATCATTAATGTTTATGACTGTCACTATTGGCATGAAGTATCATGAAAATTTCTTCAGAGACCCAATATCTTTGTCATATATTTGGTTCTGATCAGTGTTCAGTAAACAAGGATAAGGCTATAAAATGAGGCAGAAAAAGAATATTGATTACCCATCTATTAAGTGCACAACATCCAGTCTGGATACTATACTAAGAGACCCATGGGTCTGTGGAAAAATAGCAATGATGCAATTAGAAATACTATCACAAATACACCATGTGCAGAAATAAGGCTGTAGAAATGCTAACTATTTCTGATTTTGAGACATTCACTTCTGTTTTGAATGATATCTTTTCAATACTGCATCTTGTTAAGTGTGTTTTTACAAAAACCCTAGCATAATGCAGCAGCACATGTTCACACAGATCCTCAACAGAGGAGGAACCCTTAGGAACGTAACACACACCTCTGTCACTTGAAGTTATGCAGTAACAGCTTGTCCCAGTCTCCATGTCCCAGGAAGTCATTCTTGTCTCAGTCCTTCAGGATTATACAATTCCTAAAAACAGTGCTCTGGCCCTTGTACCTATTTTGCTATCTACTTGGATCCCAAATCTTTAACCACTGCATTTTTCTCCATTTTTCTCCAAATCAGTGTCTCCTTTACACTGTTTTATTTTCCCATCTCTAAATCTACTGAGGTTCGTGTCAGCATCCCTCACCTGAGGTCAGCCCATCCCTAGATCCCCAGACTTTCTTTCAGCAGTTTCTGATATTCTTGTTGGATTAATCTCCAGTATCAAGAAAGGAGACTGCTGAAAAGAGCTGGAACATAGACTGGGGATAAGACACTTAAAGAGATGAAGGCTGGCTGGAGTTTGCAGGGAAAAAGACTGTTTCCATCTCTCTTAAGAACTGTCTCTTTTGCTCTCCCTTTCTTGCTTACTCTCCATCTCCAAAGAGATGGGGCTTACTACTTGGTTACTACTGGATGTTATCAGAGCTTTAAAAATTCTCTGAGGCTGACAGATTTTTTTTTGTTGCTGTTGAAGTAATACTGGGGTTTTTTTTCAGACTTGTATAGCTTGGCCAAATTTCAGCATATGCCTGGCATATGCCACTTTTGCATTTCAGTGTCAATTTTCAAGTCTCTGCTTTACAGTAGGATAAACTAGACCTTTTCAAATGAAAGCTCACCAAGTTTCATTTTACTCTTATACACTGAACCAAACTTTGATTTCTACTAGCATGTCTCTTTTAAAGAGCCAAGCAATTGTGCCTGGAATTTCCCTGAATTAATCACCTTGAGGAAGTTAACAGACCCTAGAAAATTACAGACTAAATGGAGAATATTTGGCAGAGTTATGCACAACTGAAAACAAGTTCTCTGAGTCAGAAGTTTCATGTAACATTAATTAGAGACAGAACTCTCTGTTGTATCATAATTTAGAAGAAAAACAAGTGACAGTTTTCCATACTGTGTATTAACATTCTAAGCCTTCTATTTTACTAGTTATTTATTTCCACTTAGTTATCAGTTCAGAGTTTGGCTCTTCTCCTTTACTCACATATGTCAACCAGCTCTGCAACCCTTGTTCTCCTATTCAGGATCTCCCAGACCTCATAGAATTCAAGATCCAGGATGCTTCCCTCCCTCACAGAGGGATAGATGCGACAGTTAGTGCAATAATTAAAGACTGGTTGTAAGGGGACAGGGAGAACCCCAAAACTTAGACATAGATTTATAGCAAATCAACTAATGCTTTTTAAGGGGCAGTCCTGAAAAACATGACTAGGATTAGGAATCTCAGTAATCTTCCTCCCTCAAACTCTTTACTCACATCCATTCCTCCATGCAGACCTTGACATACACACTGCCTGAGCTGACAAAAAAACTCTAGCACAGAAAATGTACTAGAGTACATTTTGATAATATGAGTACTCAACAGCTGACAGCTCTGATGAGGTGTGGTAACTGCTACCATCATATCACCTACCTCTAGATCAGTGAAAAGCCCCTGGTTGTTCTGCAGTATGGCATACATGCAATGGGCAACAGTAACTGCATGCTTCCAGTTGTGGTAGGGCACGCGGCGATAGTTCTTCTTTACAGACATAGTAAATCGGCACAGCTTTTCAAGTTCAAAGCTAGGAAGAAAATAATTTGGTCAGAGAAAAGATATAGGAACACGAAAAACAACCAGAAGAGGAGAAATGATGGTCTTTGATTTACCCTTCTTGCTAGGATTGACTCTCGCTGTGGATGATTCATTGAATGACATGAAGAGTCACTCAAGTTTGGCAAGGACAGAGGAGCGTGAATGCCTCACAATGCTCTTAGTTTAATCTGTTAAATTCAGGAACATAAGTCATGCTATTCAGCTCAGTCAATAGAATTTCATGACCTTCCCTGCTCCCAGAAACTTGAAGTGATTTCTTTCAATTGCTTATTCAACTTGAAATATAGTACAACTCCACATCTAATGGACAATTTAAAAACATGATTTGTGATCAAAACAGAAAATTCAGGGATTTTTAAGCAAAAGACCCAGAAGAAATAAACCTGATTAATAGAGGTGATCCATATTGACCTTGTGAGAAGCAGATTTTATTTTTCCAATACTTTTAAATTTTTTCTTCCAGTTTAGACTCACAGAACAGAAATTCACATCTCAGTTTCTTCACTTCTCACCAAATAATATTTTGTTAAGTCGTAAATCGATTACTTTTTCCCTCATAAAAAGGCAGTTTTCCTTTATTCATTTTTTTCCCCTCTTGCTGTGATTTGACTTTCTTTTCAAGTTCCATGTTTTAATAATTTCTTGGGTAATCAGGAAAGTGGAATGGTGAGAAAAAAACCTGTGTGTCTGACCTATGTGTAAAAATGTAGACACATCTACTACACGGAAACAGGCAGAAATGTGTATTTCTACAGTTGTGTGCTGAGTAACATAATAATTATTCTTAGCCTTAATCTGACATTAGAAAAAAAGAGGCATATTGTCTTTAAAAAAACTTTAGGCTTTCTTTTTTAATTCTAGAAAGTCAGAGAGTGATAGAACTATTGTTTGAAGTAGTACATCATAACTCAGAATAGCAAAACAGTCACTTTCATCTACATCCAATCTCAACTCGATGGTTAAGATAGGATAGTATAATAGCCAAAAGAAAAATCATTATCTGTGATGCCTCAACATAGAATACTTCTACTTCATCCACTGTTGTATTTTGTATACTTGACTAAAGCAGTAAAATATTACTTCTTCTGAAGAGAAAATGTAGTATGATAGATTTTTCTCTGAAATCCTCTCTGAACAGGGCAATTATACATTACATTTGTAAATACTTTAAGGCACAACCTTATTTCTCAATATATTAAAAAAAAATTTTAGTCCTAAAATTTCTGGGTTTGTTTCAAAGGTTTGAGAAGTTCTGTTCTTTCAGAAATTAAATAAAAGTCCTGTTCTAACAGTCTCCTTTTCAAATATTTAGCTCACTTTTATTTCCCTAAATTTATATGCGGAAGCTGAGGCTTATTTGAAAAACATCAAGCAGATATAAATTCTTCCTCATCAAAGCTACATGTTGAAAGGAAGAAACTGGGAGTCAGAGAGAGAAGAGAACAGAACCTGACTGAAAATACAAACCCCAACCCTGCATCCACAGCCGTTCAGTCTGGAATGGAGACAAGCTAACTACATTGCACAGTAGAGAACTGTGTTCAGAAGAGTCACCCACTTTGCAACACTGAGAAAGACCCTCTGGTTTGACTGCACACTTTGGGGGCATCCATTCAATTAGTAAAATAAAATTAAATGACAGCAAGCATTCCTGAATGTTGCTTCCTTTGTAGGGACGTATTTCCCTCTCAGTTGACCACCTGTAGGATTTCTGTAATTTGGAGCAGCTCCTTTCTTTTAGCAATGTGCCATACTTACCCAACTACTGATCTTAGTAATGATAAGGAACACTGAGACAAATGACAGTGAATGAAGCATTTAATTTGAAAATAATTCACTTCCATAATTAATGCACAGCTATGCAAATAACTGATTCATTTAGCAAGATAAGATCTGATCTTGGTTTACTTTGACCATATACATTATTAATTTTGGCAACTATATATCTGAAAAACTCAGTTTTCATGCACCTTCTCTCCTTTTTGGGAAGAGTACTTTTTTGCTGCCTTTACCATCTTCTGTCTGAAAAACAAAATCATCTCAGAACCAAACAATTTTTCTGTGTATTAGAAGAAGAACTGTTAGGATGATATCATGAGTTCTTTAACCTCACTGTTCCCAGATTTTATTAACTAAGGACCTAAAAGGTTGGACAAAAGTCCAGACCGTTTATTACAGTCCTGTACTATGAATAGTAAATAAACATCAAAAAAAACAGACCTTGAATTAGGAAGTAATTATCTCAAAAATTATAAGCAAATACACACAGACTTAACAATTAAATAAAGAAATAATATACTTCATACCAGGCTGTCCCACAGGACTGGTGAACCATATAGACAAAAATAGCAGGCCAAACATCTTCATATGGACTGATATCAAAATGGTATCTAAGAAGAAAGTTTCAGTTTAGAAAAGACAAATACCTTTTCATTGTTACTAAAAACAAGTGAAAATGACTAGGAAATGTATATCCAGCAAGATTCACTTCTTTCTGAATACATACAGAAAGCTGAATTTAAAGGTTACATTTGTCAGTAATGTCAAGTTACGTATTTCTGCTAAGGTCAATGGGACTATGCTCATAGCTTCATACAATAATTTAGTAATTTATGTTGGAAAAGACTCTTATTATCAAGTCCAACAGCTAGCTTTTGGCTTTGTTTACATAAGAGAAGCACATATCTTTATCTAAGGATCCACAGATTAAGTAACAGACAAAAAAAAAATCTCAGGAACAATAAAAGATTTACAGGCATTCCTAAAATATTCAAGACTTTTCCCAGGAATAGTGAAGATGGTGTCTCTAATAATATATTTACTGGCCTTTTTTCCAATAATTTCTGTCATAAGTTGCATGAGACACACCCTAACTTTGATAGAGGAAAAAATCAGTTTTTATTGGCTAATAGAAATCACGCCAAAAATTCAAAAATTTAACATTTAATACCATATCTTTAATGTTTCATTACCTGAAGACTTATCCCCTCCCCTGATAAGAATACTGAGGCCTAATTTTAAGGACCCAGGACAGAAGAACTGGTTTTCCTTCAATTATTAATTAACCATTTCCCTGCACTTCCTGTGCTGCAAGTCCTATAGCTTTTCTCCATGGAACTTAACTACTTGGCACACTGAACAGCACAGCAGCTTGTGAGAGGAATGAAGGTAGCTGAATTGCTTAGAAAATGGTGAAATGTATTCTGCTTGAACTAAAGGATGCTAATATAATTTAGAATGAAATCTGTCATCTTTGCAAGTAAAATTCATTTTTGCTGAGGAGGTGGATTATATAATATCACCTAACAAAGCACAAGAAATTGTATTACAAAGAATAAACTTCTATTAGGGTGTAATCCTGCAAGCTGTTAATGCTCTGGCATTCAAGCAAATCACTTCAGCATGTAATGAACTTTAACTATAAGCAGTACATGTTAAACACAGGCTTTCACCTCCCCAGCTACAATGCTCAGTGCTGAACAGAAGTGAGCAAGCTCTGGGGATGAGGTTTAAAAAGACAATTTAGATTTTGTGACTCAATAGCTGATTTTAGGCACCTGGTTACTAGAGTAGAATTCATTGTCCTGGTCCAAAAAGAGCGACTGAAAAATATGATGGCTCCCATTGTTAGTGTTGAGTGGGGACTGGCTAATAAAATGCAGATAGAGGTTCATCTTCAGCATACAGCAGCTGAAAATAACTTAATTATGTCAGAGAAAGCCTAAAAGGCTGGATGGGAAGTCTCCTCCAAAGTTAAGCTGCAACTCTACCCTCTAGTTCCTGGGATTTGTAACTCTGAATTATAATTTTCCCCTTCTCCAATAAGCACAAGCAGATGCACAACACACACATACATTCATACTCAAAACTCATAAAAAAACTAAACACACCCTATACATCCACATATGCATGAACCCCAAAACCAAACCTAAAAAACATGCACACAACCGAGAAAACCCCAGGACTGAGCTGGGAGAAATATGTTATTTCTAAAACAATATCCAAGGGGATGAGATCATTCATTTGGTCTTAAGTACTGATGTTCCAAACTCTGCTTTCTCTCGGGCTCTGAGCTGCTGGTGGCTTGGGACTACAAGAATGAAAGCTCATCTGTACAAATCCTAGGTAAAAACAAATGCTTAAAGCAACTACTGTATCTACCTACCCATACCTGTGGAAAAATTATGAGTATGTATAATTTTATATCTTTGATGGATAAATTTTGTTCACAGTTCATTAATTATAGCCAAGTATAAGAAAGCCAGAGATAAAAGCACCATGATATTGCTATACTTCAATAATAAAAGTGCTTCCTAAAAAAAAATCCACTACAGGTAAGGAAAAAAAAAATTAATAGGCTATATATAACTTCTGCTACATTAGAAAAATACTTACAGCTCAATTTCTTTATAAATATGTGGAGGCAGCGTACAGTGCATGAGGTTTTGCCACTCTTCTGCTGTACAAACACTATGGTAGGATAGCTTCTCCATTGTTACACGGTAAATACACTCTGAATGACGAATTCTGTGGTACATCTGAAAAAGTAAAGTCATGCATGAATTTTAATAAAGGATATTTTAATAAAGGAAAAAAATTACTTCCCATATTCAAGCAGTGATTATTACAATACACATCTGCAGAAATGACAGTGCATTTGGCTGCACAACTTCACATATTTGAAAAGCAACAGATTACACTGAATTCAGTACTTCTAGGAAAGCAGGCCTTCTATCGCATCACTCTTCATCTACTCACTTGAGTAAATAACTAAGGCTTAGCTGACTTTAAACTGCATGTGAGCTCTCCCAAGAAAAACAATCCAAGTTCAGGAGTTAAAAATGGAGCTAAGTCCTCTGCAAAATTCTGACAAAAAATTTATAACATGACACAATTCATATTTTTTGCCACTGTATGAATTTTATTACTTGGTAAAAATTACTTCTACCTATGCACAGTAAAAAGTATGTGGGATGTTTATCATACCTACATTAATATTCCATATGAAAAATAAGTACAGTTAATTACTGAGAGGTTCAGACATGTCATGGTTTACAAACAAGTGAGGACATAACAATGTACTAGTTAAAAAAACCTCTGGAGCAGTACAGCCTGAATTCACCATCTAAAAGCAGTGAACTCACACACAGCTGAGTGTGCATAGTCCCAAGTGTAATTTATATGCAGGCCATTCTACCTACCTTGATCCAAGTGAAATAACTTGAGGCACTTGGTAATAAAATTTGCTGCCCCAGTGTACCACTGGGATGCTATTGGTAAAACTAATTAATGTAAGTCACCAGGCTTAACTGGCATTGCATTTTATCTTACCTCCCCATCAACATAACTCAGCTCTTCTGCATTGCATATTTACTGAATTTTTATACTTAATAGTAATTTTTATACTTATATAGTAATGATCATTATATTGGTTATGTTTCCTACAGGCATAGTAAATTTTGAGATAATAAAGGGTTTGAAGACAAAAATAGCTACCCGCTCTTATCTAGAAGCATGGATAATTATAAGAATATACCACAGCATGTAATTGTAAAAATTGATATTTGAGTATTAAGAATATGGAATTGAGAAAATATACAGAATATTTCCATTCCCCAATTAAATTTATAAAATTTAATTCAAATTTATAAAAGTAAATACGAATCATACTTTTTAGTGGAAAAGGGAAGACAGATATCATATACATTCCTGAGCTTTCTCATTTTAGCTACACAAAATTGATATATCCAGAGTATGGTTCTTTCAAATGAAATCCCTATCATCCTCTTTAAATAGAATTATTCACTAAGGGATACAGTGTTAATTCAATGAAATAGACCTACAAATCATTTTAATAAACTGTAACATCAAAATACTTAAGTATTCTCATTATAACTTACAAAACTGTAAATAAAACTTACATTAGCACAGTGTAAGGCTAAAGCACAAAAGACTGCAAACATTTTAAAGTTGTTCTCATCAGTTTTAGAGAAGGCACTTCCACTTATTTTATTAACCATCTGCACAACCCCTATTACACTTCCTCGGCTCACAATAGGCATGCACAGGATATTTCTGGTTGTGTAGCCTGTATAGAGGTCTACTTCTCTGAAGATGCATAAAGGAGAAAGAAAAAAGAGAAAAGAGTTAATATCAATGGGTATCTATTCCTTGATTCTCAGAAATGTTGATGTACAATATACTTAATCATTGTAAAGTAGACTAATTAGTACCTGCAAGAATTTCACCCTCAAAACCCTCAAATATTTTTATCTACTGTATTCATACTTAGAAAACTTTTTAAACCTTTATTCTTTATATGCAAAACAAAGAATTAATATTGCCTCAAACACAGAGTTGAAGAACATTTGGGTATTCTTAGGCATGCTGTTTGTTAGTGAACTATTTTTCTCCCATGAAAATAATGAGATTGCAGGGAGACTGATAATGAAAATTGGCAACAATCTAAGAACATTTTTCTCCATTATATTAATATTTGATAAAAATACTTTTATTTGTATCTTAAAAGTATCTCTGATGGCTAAAGCATTTAATAAACATCTGTAATTACTTCCTTGTCAGAGGACTGCAGCTCCATGAATGAATCTGAATATGAAATTTAAGTAGTAATTTTATGTAAGAGGTTTGATGAGCTATCTTCCCATCCAGTGAAGTGCATCCTACCTGTTAAAGCGTGGATCTGCATAGGCATCAGGGATGTTAAGGACTTCTCCTGTTCTTGCCACTTGACCAGCTATTCCTTTTTCTATAGAAAATCTGGGAAAATAAAAATGTGTATTAGCCAAAATACAACAAACACATTTTTCTAGTGGTGTCTCTCTTGGGCACAGTAATGGGTGTTCCCAACCAGCGTCATTTTCTTGCTTTGAGGAGAAAAATCTTACAACAAGTAGTAGCACATAATAAAACAAAAAGCACATCCTAACAGATACTTTCTGAAGACATTTTATATAGCTATATAGTTTAATACAAAACATGCCATAACATTACCATTTTAGTGACAAAAATTCAAAATCTTCAATAACCCTTTTTTGATACAGAACTCAGACTTGTGTTTACATTTAATAGGTATTGATTTTGTTATGACTTTTACATATTCATGAATTTACATATTCATTGCTTCTTTAGACACATGGAAGGCAACATGGAACTTGTTTCTTTGGGTGGTGTTTGTGTGTGGATTTGGTAACTAAATTTGGAAAAAAACAGTGGAAATTTCATAGCTGAACATTACATGGATTGTCCATGGGAATGGGAATGACTAGCCTGTTTCATGACAATGAAACAATGCCATGTTATTAACTGCGTCTCTTAATCACCACAAGGAAGTTAAACACAACAAATACATTCTTAAGTTGTATCACAACAATCCATACATCTGTCTTGTGAGTAAATAATTTTCAATATTTTGACATAAAACAGTTATGATATAAAAGGAGAAGATATTTTTTGGAGAAAAACACGTAATAAGAGTAATACGTGGAATGCTTTGAAGTCTAAATGAACCCTGGTAGTACCCTGGTGCCAGGTATTGAAGTCAGTGATAAAGCTGTCAGGATTTCACCCTGCACACCTGACTTTAAGTTATATTTTTCTGTTGCTTCTTATGATAGGTACATCACACCAACTTAAGACTCCTTCCTGATGACTCACTCAGTGTCACTTTCTTACAGATATTTAAGTTGTACTTCACTTTCAGTATACAGTACCTGTGAAATGGCTCACACCCTTGCACTTAGAATCAACATTTCAATAACATACAAAGACAGAAGGATATAAGCAAGAAAAACAATTATCACGAAGGAGTATGAAAGTGCATGTTAAAGCAGGCCATCTTCTTTAATTTACACCACCTCCTTGCTTGTCAGTACGCAAATTGCACCAATTTTTATTCCTTCCATTCTCACTCACACAATGGTAAGTGGGAGTAAGTTTGTCTAAAGGAGTCTTAGTTAAGACATGAATCACATCTCATACTGGCCCAGAAGTTTAAAAGAATAAGGAGGAAATGAAAAAGTTCTGATAATAATCAACGCTGAATATTTTAGGAAAATTTTAGTACAAGATACTTAGTCATAAAATTCTTTACTTTTAAGAAGCTGAAAATCTGAAACCTGTATGCCTTTGAAAATCTTAGTCTGGATCTATTAGGAATTCATAATTTTTGAAATGTGAAAAACACTATATTTACTTTGTTGTTTAGCCTCTTTCATTAAAAAAGTGCATAAGTGTAAAAATGAGGTACCTGTGACACGAAGCAGAAATACACATAACTTTTAGTCAGAGAATCCTTTCTAGTCATTACCAGACAATATGCATTTTCAATTTCACTACTTCAAGCATTTTTTAGTATCACAAATAATTGAAAGTTTGAAAATCTAAATTCACATGAGAAAAGTAAAATTAAATTACTGAGCTTGAAATCTTCAAAGTGAATGACCAATCCATACTCAATTCTACATTTGCCTAATCCATCCACAAGAAGTACAAATTGTGATTTCCTTGCTTTGGATGTGCTCGAATCGCACAAATTTTAATTCCTCTTGGGAACCCTCTTGGGAAAAAAAAGTCCCAAACTGGCAGACTATGGATTTAGGTGCACTATTACCTGCACCTTTACCTACCTCAGAACACCTCTGTTTTTTTCCCAACATGATTTCCAAAAGGACCGCCTCCGGAAGACGGCATTTCCAGGAGTGACGTTATAGCTTCAGAGACGCTGTTTCGATGCCACTGCAATGTCATTCCCAGAAGTACTACCTTCTGGAGGCGGGTCCTGGTGGGAATGATATCACAGTATGACAAGTATTGTCAGGGTACCTGCAGATAGGCACAGAAACTGGGTAATAAAATGCCTGCACATCCATAGTTATAATGAAACTACACCCTTCTGCTAGCTATTCTTACCTTATTTCTTTGGTCTTCTTGAAGACAGGTTTTCCATCATTTTCTTCTCCAATATCAAAAAGGTCTGAATACAGCTCCTTATTTTTGTGGTCCACCTGGAAGAGTGCACACCTATCTGCATTCACCAGGTTTTTTGCATATATCTACAGACAAAAAACAAAACTAGAGTTAACGGTCATGAGTTGGATTATCTCCAGTCATTTACCTGATGAAAATATACATCCCTGTACGACAAAAGTTTTGAGAAGTTATCCAGGATGGAAATCTGTGTGAAGAAGCAATCTTTTAGGATAAAATTCAGAAGTAAAACCTTGAATTCAATATTTTCTCTGCTAATATGAGTATTTTCCTCAAGAAATGCAGGACTATCTTCAGAGACTGGAAAGATTCCCCCAAAAAAGTAAGCTTTCCTGTTTAATTGATTTTCAAGGCTTTCAAAAATAGTACCTTTCTTCCCTCTATGTTCAGATACTATTCACCTGATTTTAAATGGATAAGTTAGAGCAAGACCTAAGAACAACTTTGTCTTTTTACCTTCATTGTCAATGCAAATGTATTGGTATTTAATATCCAGTAAAGACAGACATAGAGAGTACAGTGTTTGCTTCTAAGAAAGCTAAGTGTGCCTGTAAAAAACAATGATGAAATGATCCTTGTGGGTTCCTTCCAAGTCAGAAATACTTTGTGACACTGTGGTTCTGTTGTTAGAGGTATATTATGGATTGCCCTATGCAGAGGGATAGGAAGTGGCTGTACCCTCCTGATGTCAGGGACAGTACTTGCACAAGAGCTGAGACTTAGAGATTGTGCATGAACTAACCAAAGGCCAAAGGTACCAGCCAGAGCCAAGGAAGTACCACAGTACAACAACAGCACGGTCTCTATCTTACTTTGAACCAACTAGTTTTATCTCAGCAAAAATAATTCCCAGAAGCACTGACTGTCAGAACAGAAACTTGTCTTGGGAACACAGTAGGTCTTCACTGAAGTATTTCTCAGAGATACAACAGACTTTCTGAGAAAAAGAGGAAAAAGTGAGATAAAAAAATCAAACAAGGATCACAGTGCTAAGATGCCCATACACAGGCACAAGAACCTGCTCTATCCAATTCAGACCTCTATCCAGGTCTCCTGTGTTTCTTATTTGTTCAGAAAGTACAGTAACTGCATGGTAGAGTATGATCTGAGGTGGATCTCTTTCCACTTTATATATTATACCTATCTAGTCATTCAGTACAGAAAAAGGCTAACAAAATCTTGGTGTGCAATGCATGCAGTTGGTACGTTTTAAGGATTCATAAGACTTACATATTAATGATCTCCCACATCCCCTCTTTTGTCTTCCAAAAATATAAATAAAACAAAGTATTTAATTTCACAGTAATTCAGATGGACAAATGTTACATCTCAGCACAAAAAAACCCTATATGAGATGAAAATTCATTAGCTGAGACACTAGTTCAATGCCATATGAGGGGAGCTGCTCAGATATCATCTAACCCAATTCCAGAACTTGGAGGGCCCTCCCATACAGACCGAATCTGTGCTGAGGAAGATTCTGTTGTCTTCTACTCCATTCACTCCATCTGAACAGAAAACTCAGGGAGAATTCAATCCAAGACATAAGACTTCTGCAATTTTTCCCCCTTAGAGCATTAAGAAATTTAAAGACCTTAACAACTCGGACTGCTTATTTATTTACCCAAAAGAAAGTGAACAAAAACTGCCAAAAGGACAAGGGGTCCAGTAAATGCTTCTATTCAGACACTATATCAGATTTCTTTGTAAAATCTACAGCAGAGTGTTGACTGTATACAATTAATTTTTTGTGGTTTAATGCATATGACTCAAGAACTTACCTTGGTCATGACTCACTCATGCTTTTCAAAAATGATTGCTTAAACAGTACTAATTGAGAAATAGTTAACAGGATGAGAGTTTTACTTCTCTAAATCCCTCGCTCAAATCCTGAGAAGTGGTTGAAAGAGAATATCAGTACAAAAAGTACATTCCGCACTGTCAATAGGGAAGCCAGGGACCACCTTTCTCATAAGCTGCTCATGCTCAAGTATATGTGCAAGAAAATTTGTAAGGCAACTTGAACTTTTACTCCCCTTCCTTACATTTACATTCAAAAAACCCTTCTATCACTAGCTTTGCTGAGAGATTCTGATGAAAATAAAAATGAAAAGACTGGAAAGAAACACACATATTTTTTCTTTAGCATTGCAGGAACAAATCAGATCATAAGTGCAATCACCAAAGGGTGAAGCAGCAAGACGTTTCTCAGAAGAAACTGAGTTCTGGTCTTTTCTAACAGAGACACAGAATAAGCCACATAATGATCAAATCATGCTCCCACAAAATGGCAAAAAATGTACAAACACATAATTCAACTAACTGGCTCAAGAAAGCAATAACAGCAACAGCTTAAAAGGAAGCTGAGTATGAAACATTACACAGGTTAAAATACAGAATCATGATGCAGCCAAGTGTTGGAAAAGATGATGAAAGAGTAAGCATATTTTGCTGCCAATTGTGTTTTCCACCAGATCTCTATTCACAGAGAAGAACAGGGAAGAATATCAATATTTGTTCTCAGTGCCATATGTTATGTTGTACCAGTTCTTTTAAATTCTTAGCTATTTTTAAGAGGTTCATTTAAATTGGAAAAGTCAATGTTCAGAAATGTGTCCTATGTGCAGAATTCTTCACTGTGTACTAACTAGAATAACACAAACACTGCAGAATATTTTCCATTACTAATTCACGTTTCTAAATAAAACCTTTATTGTTGTTGCAAACACTTTATTGTTGTTTGCATTCTAACATTGCTGTCTTTGAATAATCTAGCTAAGAATAGCACTTTGAAGACTGGGGCATGTATCAGAGTACTGTTGGAAAGTAATTTTTTGGATGTGCAGATTTAAAACACTGGTATCACAGACCTGATTCAGGTTTAAACTTAGGAAAAAGAACTGCAGAATGTAATGAATGTGCATAAAGCTAAAAAGCATAATTCACATATCAAACACTCAAAATATGTTATAAACAACCAGTTCACACACATTTGTTAACACTACTCAGGAAATAATTCTGAATTCAAAATTGATTTAGAAACTCATAAACTGCTTCTGAACAGTACTTTAATTCATTAATTAGTTATTTCAATGGGAAGAACTAACCACTTGGCTTTAATGGTTTCTATAAAGCATTGACTGTCACTCTAGTTATGAATGTAGTTTTCCAAGGTCTTTCACATCTCATTCAACAACTGGAAAAAATATCCTAGGAGTAATTTTTAAACTCCATCCCTTGCTACAGATAGTAACTTCTTCAGCAACCTTTTGCAGCATGTACCAAATTTAATTTAGGAAGAAGGAATCAATATAACATGCTGAAATAAAAAGAAAACCAGGAGTCTTTCTGTTGCAATTTGCAAACTTTCTCAGAACACAATAGTAACTATTCAGTTTGGAGACAGTCCTGTTTCATTCCTTATGAAAGCTGTGAACAGAATTTGTTGCAAAAATGACAAATCAAGCTGTCCTTTACCACCTTTTCTGTACAGATATGTTTATACTGTTTGTATTATGTGTTCACTACAAACAGCTCATATACTTCAATGATATAATGTCTTCAAGGGAAGGAGAATGAAGGGCTTTAATACCTACAACTAATAAACTTAGAGGTGAAAAAGACAACTTACCATTATATGTTCAAGTAGAGAATCTATTGCAACTATATTATCAAAATATGTTCTGCAGAGAAAGAGAAGTCAGTAAACATTGGCATTTAGTCAAACACTTCTCAAATTAGTGTCAGGGGCTCTTATTTCACTATGGCTTACAATGGAGCCAGAAAAGGTGAGGACAAACCACTGCAGCTTGAAAATCACTGACTGGCTTGCTACAGCACAAGGGAATTAAGAAGCGGTCCTAGCTCTGTTCCCTTAAGCCATTATTCTACAGAATTGAAAATATTCTTTATTATACATAGAATTTTCTCTGTAGAAAAATGAAAAGACTAACAAATATTGCCTGCTGTGAACTGAATAGATTCATGCTGAGCAACATCAAGAATGCATCAAAATGCTTTGGCACCTCTACCACACTGAATATTTTAAAAGCAGAAGTAAAAAGGAAAAGAAAAGAAGTAGAAAACAACAAAAATTTATTTAAAAATATTAAGAAATAGCTAAATCCATGTCATATTATCTAGTTCTTAAAACTAGCTGAAAGGCAACTATTTAAGAAAATCTTAATGGGTTTTCTCTATCAACACCAGTTGAAGCTGAAAAAAGGGAATGATCTTGTTATTTAAAAAATAAAAAATAATTTTAAAAAATCTCAGTTTCATAGCAAAGTGGTAACTGTTCAAGGACAGTCAAGAACATTGAAAGATAAAGGTCAAACTTATTAGTAAAAGAAGTCTATATTTTTCACATGCCGAGTATTAATAACCCTAAGATTACAATGTTCCCAGCAGACAAAAGGCATTGTCCTGTGGGCTTCAATATACACAGCTCAGTTCTGTTTGGGTCTAGAGATACAAAATGCACTGGTCTGACATCGTCAGGGACATGAAGAGGTGGAGCACTGAATAGTCTGCCCTTTCTAAAATGTTACAGAACATGTCCCGGTGACACTGCACACTAACAATTTCCTCACTGAGAAGGAAATTCTCCTTCCATGTTAGAAAAGATACAGACCACTTCCAAGAGGAAACTAATTATTTTCTTGCTGATACAGGTCTGTGCCTACATGAAGTTCATAAAGATATTATTAAACGAAATTCCAATTTTGTGCCTTAAAACACAAACTTTCTTCTTTCGTTGAAACTAAAAACTCTAGCAAATTATAATGCTATATGAAAATTATTTTCTTATAGAAAGGCACAAGAAATATTTGCAGTACTTATTATCTTAAAAACATAAAACAATTACAAAATTCTTTAAAAAAATCTCAGTACTATGCCAGTCCAAGAAAAAATTGCCAGTCCATAAATCTGGATAGATTAATATAGTTTTTTGGTAAACTAGTTAAGTATGGATGTTAGCAACACACAAGCACTCTGGAAAGGAATATAATGGTGCAAGACTTGGTAAGAGTGACCTTTGGGAGGCATGGTGTGAATTATGTTGAAATTAAAAAAAAACGTCATCCTGAGGAAAAAGTTTGGAAAAACATCTGGATACAACCAGCTTGCCCTCCTTGCACGGGGCAGGCTCTTCCCTGTCGTTTATTACTCGCCCTTTCAGCTGGGTCAGCTGGCTGCCTACATTCCTGAGCAATGGCATAGGAATCTGGACATCCTCTAATCTCATCAGTTTGAGAATTGTTCATCAAGACCCACAGAAACATCTGCAGCAAAAATACAAGACATCTCATCTTTTCATAGTATCGTCACTACTTTGTGATGCACTTTGAAATTTTTCTACCAACCTTCATAAAGTTTCATAACAGTGTTTCATAAAACACTATTAAGCACTCCAAACTGATTTACCAAAAGTGCAGCTCTGGTTTATCTTTTAATTTATTGGTTATCTTTACTATTTAAAGATTCTTATAGCAGTGACAAACAAAAAGAGATGAAGGAAGAGCAGACCACCTAAGACACTAAATTGATTTTGCAAGTGTAAACTCAAGCTTTCACACTCTTTCTGTGATTTCAAATTAATCTTGCCTTATAATGACAAGAAATTCAAAGCAAACATTCTACATGCAATAAAAGTCTTTGAAAATTAAAACAGATCCTTCAGAAAATGTACAGGAAGATCAATCATGTGGCAGCCCTGATTCTTCAAGGACTCAACTCTGAAGTCCATACATTTATGAATACATGCATTCATGTCCAAAAAATTGTTGGGAGAATAGGGGAAGCTGAAGCACACTAAACAACTTTCTGTAAAGTTCTCTTAAGCCATCTAAAATTGCCAGAAGACACCAAGCCTATTTTCCACTTCTAAAAAGATGGTCATATTTAACTCTGACAGAAGAGGTGGGGAAAAGGAGGAAAAAATCCCATGCAAAAGACCACAAGAATAAACAAATTCTGTAAGGTATAAAATGAATGTCACATTTTCATCTGCACCACCACCACAAAAATTATGAAAGATAAACACTACTGCAACACACATCACTTGTTCTTGTCCCTGTGCTGAAGTTTGCCCACCCTCTGAAGTGTACCTTTGCACCAGCTTGTGAGCTACAGGCAGTAGCTCCCACTACTGCTATTGAATGAACACAGGTAGATTGGAAGAGCCATGCTGATTAAAAACTCATTAGATTATCTTGCAAATCACACTTACTTTGATACATCAAGCAAGAAGTCATTCAGTTCAGTCTGCTTGGCAAGGCCCCGGCACACCTGGAAGCACAGATCATAGAACCATTTGCTCCAGAACACTCATACACTCATGTCCAAGGGAAACTGAAGTCCCACCCCCTTAATTTGTATGAAAAAAACACCAGTACTCGTGGTGTGTGTGTGTGTGTATGTATATAAATTATATATATATCTGCTACTGCACTGTATAAAATTAAGACTGAATTTGTGTGCTGGGTTTCAATCTTAGTTATCTAGTTGCTGAGTTAAAACTGTGAAACACAAGAAAAATCTTTCCTATGACCCACTTAAAGCTGTTGGTTTTTACACTTGTTCATGCTGTCTCAAAGGCTGTCACTGACTGTGATTATGGAATGAACATTTCCTTATCCAGATCCTCAGATTCTCTGCAAATGTCAAATATTTTGTTTCCCTTCTCCCTTACCACATTTTTGCCACTTTTTTCCAGGCTGCAAAGTAGCATATAGACACAACTGTAGTCTGACATCAGATAAGTTTAACTAAGCTAAGCAGCAGATGATATATGCTCAACTTAGGGAGAAATCAGCATGAATATGAATACAGAAAATAGTATGCATACTTCTTTTTAGAAGCAAAATGTTAGATGAAGCAAAGGTTTCAACTGTATTTCTACTTCACATACTTGCATACTCAGTATCTGAAGCACAATTGTACATCTGTATATTACTAGAGCAAGCACTGAGGCCAAAAGTAAAACAAATCTCTACTGCTTGTAAATTTTACACTTACAAAAATATCACTTCAAACTAGTAATATCTTTCATCTGTGTAAGGTAGATACAAAATGCCAGATCAAAACTCTTGCATTCTTCTCATGCAAAAAACCTTGTGAAGAGCAAGCCTTCTGCTTAGAAGAAGGAAGAGAAATAAAAATGGACAAGCTTTTTAACTTTCCCTATTATGTTTTGTTAGATGTGAAAGACTTCCCAATCAAGGAGAGAGTAATTCTTACATAAGTGAAGCTACAACTGCATGTAATTGCAATTCTACTAGTGTACAATAGCCAGCAATTCTACTAGTGTACTTGCTGTCTGTGCCAGCTAACTCTGTCCAGAAGGGAATGACCATGAAAATGTGATCTCTACTTTGAATGCTGTGAAGTGGAATCTAGAATAGAGCAAAGCAGGCTCAAGCTTAATAACAGGAAAAAAACTTTATTAAACTACTACTACAAAAGAAAAGAGAAAACTAAAGAAGGGGGAAAAAAAACTACATAAAGATCCAAATGAAAACCTTGCAAAACATTCCTCCCCCCACCACCCAACTCTAACAAACCACAGTGAGACACAATCTGGACCCTAATCAGGTTTCCACCCTCCAAACAACCGATACTCAGTCCATCGAGGGAACAGAGTCTCTCCTGTGCCACAGACCCCCCAAGAAACACAGCTCCACATCCTGTGTTTCCATGTTACACATGGCACTGCCCGGAGACAAAGTTTGCCATGGTGACTTTTCTCCTTTCCATGCACAGTGCTCTCACCACAATGCATGGATGGTCAGACTGCCTTTAGGATTTTTCCTTTCAAGGATGCCCTGCCAAGAGGGGAGAAAACAACAGTTCCGTTTTTCATTGTTTGGGACCACAGTCCCCCCCATTTTCCCCTGGGGCTGAGGGCTCAAGAACAGAGATCTTCTTCTCTTCTCTTTCCTTTCCAGGGCAAGGGGGCGCCACCACAAACCCCCTAACCTTTTCTCTGTTCACTCCACTTCTGTCTCTTCCCAGCTGAAGCAGGTCTCTTGACTCACTGGCATCCTCCCAAAACACAGTCCCTCTTGAAGGAGAAGATTTGGTTCAGGTTGTGGCTAACACGGAAAAGTCTAGCTAAAAGCCACTCCTTGTCCCCCTCCCATCCAGAATTCCTCCTTCCAACATCCCATCCCAGGGTCCAAGGTGTCCCTCTTCCTCTCTTTCAAACCGAGGAGGGGAAAGGAAAATTCACAAAACTTTCATCTCTCAAGGAAGGGTTAAAAGTCCGAACTCTCAGGATGGCTCGATGCCCGGACATCCAGCAACTCCTACACAACTGGGCACCTTGGAGCTCCCCCCGCTCCTCCTTCCTCGTGGTGGAATTGCTGACAGGACAGGTCCGCCGCCGTCTCTTTCTCTCTCCCCCTCAGGAGAGAAACCAGGGTGGGGGGGGGGGAATGGAGACATCCCAGATTTCTTACACCCTTCCATTTGCAGGGGCCAGCCCAGTTCCAGTCTTTCCACCACCCTTGGGGCCTACCTTTCAGGCCATGGGGGCTTCCCCTCCCCCACCCAGCTCGTGGCTGGGCAGGGGAAAGGCTGCACTGCGCGCTGACTGGAACCAAAGAGAGAGAGTTCCCCTGGGAATTCTGCTTTCAACCCCTCTGTGTTCTCAGAGGCGTGTCTACTTTCAATTAGTCAATATCTAAATTGACCTCTTCCTTCCGGAAAAAATTCTCTTTCTGTGTCAAACCACGACACTTCTGCTTAGAAGAAGAGAAATAAAAATGGACAAGCTTTTTAACTTTCCCTATTATGTTTTGTTAGATGTGAAAGACTTCCCAATCAAGGAGAGAGTAATTCTTACATAAGTGAAGCTACAACTGCATGTAATTGCAATTCTACTAGTGTACAATAGCTAGCAATTCTACTAGTGTACTAGCTGTCTGTGCCAGCTAATTCTGTCCAGAAGGGAATGACCATCCCAAAGTCAGTGACTTCCAGCACAGAAGCAGAAAAGATTAGAGACTACAAAAGAAAAGCAGGAAGGTTTTTGCATGTCTTCTGACAAGTGTATGAAAGACAGCTTGAAAAAAGAATGTCATGAATTTCCTCCTGGGAGATGACAGAAGAATCTATTTTAGCATCTTCTCTGAGTTGACAGAATATGTTTAGTTTCAGTGTTACCATCTTCTGCTAGCTTAAGTAACAAAACCTATTAGCAAAGCTGCTAGGGTTTGCTAGAGCAGCTTGACACTGAAGCTCCATTAGGCACTCAGCTAGGGACAGCATGAAGCATCCTTAGTGGCAGTAGTTACAGGACCATGAAGCAGCTAGCAAGGATGGCTTAAAATAGGCTTTGCTAACAAAACTTTATAATTTTAAACCAAATACCAAAGCAGGAGGAAACAACCAGTTAGCCTAGCAGTTGCCTTTCACAAGAAAAAGAAAACTAAATAACTGTGCAAAGTTGTTATGATAAATCTGCTTTAATCATTATTTATCTACTTTGTTCAAATTTATTTCCTTTAGTACAAATACTGTTTGCCATTTGATCCATGATTGCAAGTGAGGAAAACTAGTTCAATGAACACCAAAAATGTTAGTATATTTTTCCAGGTTCAAGGAAGGGGCTTTAATCAATGCTTTAGCAATGACCTCCAGTTAAATCTGATCATAGTCCATGCTCCTAATAAACACATTCTGGAAGACAAGTAACACCATAAGAAAATGAAAAACCACTCACACTTACTTGTACTTGATGTATTGCTACTGAAGCCCATGCAAGATTTGCTGTTGCAACCTGCAACAAAAGAGAAGAAACTCTCTCTGAAGAAACCTTGAAAACTGCACATCAGTGACATGCCTCTTTTATCATCTACCTGCAAGTACATTGACTGAGCTGTTTTAGACAGGCAGGCAGTAACAATTTAAGGAAGGACAATTATTTTGCAAAAGTCTCAGTGTACTTGCAAGTGTTTCAATTTTAGAGCTTACCAATGGTTTTCAGAAGCAGAATTGAGCACCCATCAGCTCAAAAATATAACATCAAAACAAACATCTCATAAGCTGAGGGCTTTAAATTGTTGAAAGGCATCTGCCATAGAATTAAAATATGCCTTAACAGATTTCTGGGGCTGTATTTGTTGAGCAATAGCTACTTCCAGCTGTAAACAGGCACTGTTTCTCTCATTACTGTTTTGGTGGCAGAACTAGACCTGATCCCTCAGCTCAAGTGTTTGAAGTATGACAGTTTCCAGGCAACATTTTAAACAAATGTCATGTAAACTGCAGCTAACTATGATGTGCTACCATGCATAATCTCCTGTCCTTGAAGCACAGCAGCTTTACAGGAACACAGGGAATGGAAGCACAAGAGGTCAGCTTTTGCATGCCCTCCTAAGGTATTTTTTATTTTATAATTTTAAACAGAACACTTTGCACACATTTCATAAAAATTGCAAATGGCATCCAAAGGCTTTCAGAAACCTGAAAATGAAAATAATGCTTTAGAACACTTAGAAAGTGACCTTAAAATATTTTTAATTTACTAATAAAATACTTCTATTTAGCAGCCAGTCTTTTCCAAGTAGAACATTAATGAACTTTAGCTACGGCAGCTATTTCATATAACATTCATATTTTCATAAAACAATGCATGTCTGAGACTTATGTGAATTGTAGATTGATTAATGTAATAGGACAATTTAAAAAATTAAATACATTATGTGTAGGCTGCAGAATTAATGAAGCCTGGTTTTGTATGAATGCCTGTTCTTTGTTCTCTGAGCAAGGACAGTGGTCCCATCACACTAAATCCCTACCCTGACCTCTGTCTACTGGTGAAAAAATACAAGATGTGACAACAAGCTGAAATGGAATTGACTACCCAATTAATACACACATGTGGACATCAGATGAATGCTAGCGTACTTAGCTTACTGATAAACAAAATATACACTTGACAAATACTGCTGCTGTTTTCCTTCTTTGGGAGGACTAGTTTTAGTATGTCTTGCCTGAATCTCCTCTGTCCTTTTCACACAAATAATTCCTGTTCAGTACAATTAAACTGTACCATAGTGGATCTCGTATCACTGTTGAGACAACAGACCTGGCTAGAACTCACTCAATTTTTTCCTAACTGTGTGTTCAGGTTCCCTTCTCTGGGGGACAGCACAGAGAAAATTTCATCTTTACATCAGAGACATCTTAATGGGACATAACAGAGATCTTCACCTTGACATGAGAGCAAAGATGCACCTTAAATACCTTTAGTTCAGCAATAACCTTTACATCACCTGTTCTATTTTCAAATCCACTTATATTTGGCTAACAGCTTCTAACTTCAGATTGATAAATGGATATGTATGGACAACACAGCTACACAAACTTACATGAACAGAGTAATGCATGCAGAACAGGCATGGAAAGGGGAGGATGAGTATGAATGAGAATATCTGGATAGGGAAACATCAGAAGTCAAAAAAAGTAGAAGAAAGCTTTATGAGTGTCACTTAGACTGGCAGGTTATCCAGGTACCAGCACTTCTATACACAGTTTCTAAGGACATCTAAGTCAGGAGACAAAGGACAGTGATCCTGACAACTCACAGAGATGGGACAGGCTAGAGAGAGACAAAGGCTATCAGCTCCAAAAAGCTAAAGAAAATCCTGACCCAAAACCAGCACATGGTTTCAACTTGGAAAGAAGCCAGGAGACTATAAAGACTCAGCAGACAGCATCCCTTGTCCTGTTCCAAGGTATTCTGGAGGGAATACCTGGATACCTGGAACTGGAAATACTGCCTAGACAGACACATCTTGGTGCTGGAGAGCATGTGGCAGTAAAAACATGGATGCAAATATCAGAAACCTCTTTTGCTTCAAGTTTGATTTAAAGTAAAATCGCTTTCCCTTCCTGTGAGACCCAGCACTGAGACTTGATAAACTGTTGGTGTAACATTGCAACACTCTGTTTTGTGACAGAGCTCATTACTTGACTTCTCACCAAAGAGTAAACTAAAGAGTAAACTAAAATAAATTTTAAAATCTTACCATAATGTAAAATAAAGCTGTACTGGAAATTTAAGATTGAGACTCAGGATAACTGAGCATTTTCTTTTTTTATATAAAGTGATTTTGGGTTTTGATGTTTGATTTACACTTACATTTCATCTACCGGCCAAATGTTAACTTCTCTAACAACTCTGTATTCAGTTTATAATCAATAAAGAAACTTTCAATCTGTTTATCCTCAAGGTAAAACTCTTGATGTGTCCCTGTACTTGTATATTTTACTTCCTCTGACTGAAAATATAAATCACTACCTATTTCCTTTTTTTTTTGGTAGGAACAAAAATCAAGCATGAAAAAGATATAAACTCATGAGAAGAGTGACATAAGGAAGTTTGGAGTGGGGGAAGGGATGGGAATGAAGTCCTGACCATGGCGAGGAGCGGGGCACAGGTTGCACACGAGCTCACCTCTTGGTGACTGTGGTGGAAGGCTTCTTTGCCCCAGTGACGGTAAAGCTCCAGGATACCAATCAGGTCACCAATTGCTGTGACAATTGGCAAACACAGAACAGATTGGATACGGGTTCCCGACTCCAGTCCAGTACCTTTGGGAAATCGCTCATCCTAGAGAATACAAACATAATCTGATAAAATGTAAAATCTGATAAAACATTAACAGCAAAGACATACTGATGTTTTCCTCCCCTTCCTATCTGACCGAATCTACAGGAAAATCACAAAAGTCACTAAAACGCATCTTTCAGCATGACTTCTGCATGGTAGTAAGACATCTACTAAAAAATGTAATTTTGAAGTCTCAGCATTAATGTACATATGCAGATAACCTTATTGAGGTAAGGATGTCTCATAATACACTCAGCTTTATGTTTGTTTACATAATGCCTTTTGTCACAGGCAGAAAAAACAGCACTTTATTGCTAATGCCTGTCCAGATTAAATAAAAATCCAAACAAGCAACACTACTACTCCACCATCCTTCTCTCCAAAAAACCCCAAAGAATTTGTAATCCCAAAGTGGGCTGCTCAGATCTCAGTATTAAAGAGCAGACAACAGTGCTTGCAAGAAAACAAAAATTGAAACTTGAGGCTAAGGCTTTAGGTTATACAGTTATAATCTTCGACCTACACTTGAGGAGGAAAATGCATTCCAAAAAATTATGCATAAGAGTAAGAAATTATCTTTCTTTTCTTACACATCCTGAATAAACTGGTGCAAAAGACACAGAAACAAATGTTAAAATAATCCTACCAGCTGCTAGGTAAAACCCAAATACATAACTTTCAACCCTCAATAGAGAATGTTCAAGGCTTTAAAGCTTCACTTCCCCATGTAGGAAAACTCAAGCAGACCTAAAAAAGCACCTGGATGTTACAGTTAGTAAGGCAGTCACTGCCCAGTGCGAAGTGTGCAAGACCCACTTCCTTGCACATCAGTCCTTCAGGACTTGATTCGTACCAGATGTTCCCTGCAGGCTCTGCTTAGGCAAGACAGACACCCTTCCAAGACTGATCAAAATCTCTCACTTCTCAAAGAAAACAGCAAGTAATCTCTACCTTAATTACTAAGATGACAATCAATTTGAACAAATGACAGACAAAAGAGAGTGGGAAGCACTTTGAAACATGAGCCTTCTGCTTTCTCTTTTTAGTTCTGTCCTCCCACAAGAAAAGGGCTGGCAAGTCTACCCGCAAGCACTTCCCTTTCACTGTTGAGAAACTCCTAAAATCACATGAAGGCAAACCATCTCCAAAATGAATCTTGCTGTTTGGTCAATGAATGACAAATACTAAATCAACAAAAAAGTTAAAAACTCCTCCTCACTAACCCCACAATTTTAGTAAGAATCAAGAACATAGTAAAATGAAAACACAGAACTCTTGTATGTAAGGCTATCAGTATATTAATTGGAAATTAACAATAACAATTTAAACCCTTAATCTAACTGAAAAACATACCAGCACATAAAATCTTAATAGTCCAGAGTGTGTAGAAAGCACTGACTATTACTACAGGGAAAGCAGTTTCTGCCTTTTGGTTTTGTGGCTCTGTTTAAGTGCACTCACATTAGGCATCTGGTATTTGTTAATAGCCCAGGTTTGCCCAACTAAGGTCATATATATTTTTAAGAAATAATTTCAAAACTAGAGAGAGCAATGTCCAATTTTTTTTTTTTTTTCTTTTTTGGTCACAGTATCCAAAAATTGTTATTCTGCACAGAGTTTGAAAAGATGGGAAACACTGAAGAGAGAAGAGAATGTGAACTTCCTTGGTGTTCTCATAACCAACTAATCATAAAAGTGCTTCATAAAATTGCATAGATACAACTAGTTCATGAAGTGTTTTAAAAAAATTAAAAAGGACAGATATACAGAGTGCCAAGAATTATTAGAATACCACCTTAGGAATTTCCAAGCCCTGTTACAGAAAAAGGCTTGAATTTTGATATCAATTACATTAGTGCACTTTTCATGTAAATCTACTGATTCTATCAGTGTACTAGCTTTATATCAGAGTATGCAGAGATAAAAATCCTGCCTAATAACCAGAATTCTGACTGACATTCTTGTCAGTGTGAGCCCTGTATAAAAAATAAATCAAATTTTCAAATTTGACTGTATGAAAATCTTCTTGTTTGAGGTTAATATTTCAAGACCAAGAAGACAGGAGTTTTGACTGGGTGTTTTTTCCACATGACTGTGGTTCCATCACATCCTTTACCTGACAACGAAAAAACTGGTAAAATAACCCAAACCCAAAGTGAAAAAAAATCCAAGCCTTTAAAATTATTCCATCAGCTAATCCAAACTCAGATTTATTTTCCTGGTATCAGGACAGATGCAAATTCTATCCTTAAATGTTCATCTCAAACATTTCAGCATCAAAACATTCATTCTGAGAACATGCTGCAATATCTCATTAAAAAAAGAAAGCTTTTTACCCCCAGAATATCTTCTACTAACAAGGTTTTTCTGGATCTGGCTACATAAGCAGATACCGTAGTGCCATGTGCAATGGGCCCTGCAGGAATGAGTCGTGGGTGTCCTTCTTTAGCTCCTGGTGGTGTAAATACACACAGACTCTAGTTAGAAGGAAAAAAAAAAAAAGAAGAAAGAAAGAAAAAGAAAAGCAATTAGAAAGCATTATTACTTTTACAATTCCTGCGCAAACTATGTAAAATAAAGTAGATAATGTAGAAAAACACGGCTTTTGACAATGAAAAGCAGTTGAATAAACTCCTTGTAATTCTTCTGAAATCTTAGAAAATCCCACTTTAAAGTCATCCAGGTAACTTCTGGACAACTCCTGTGAGCACAGTGGATGACTTAAGTCAGTTATTCTTTAAATCAGGGTAGGATTGCATTTATTTTGAACACTTAATACACAGGATACAAGACTCACAAAAGAAAACATTGCCTTGTAAGAAAAGCATTATCTTAATTTTTTTATCTACAATGAATTCATTTATTTCAATATAAAATATTCAAAAAGTAGATATAATATTTAAATTTCTTGTTATATAGTACCAGAGATACATGACAATGCCACAGCACAACATATTACTAACATGCCTCTTAATAAAGGTCACAGGTTGTGCTGCTAATTAATTTTACTCTCAGAATTTCCTTTCATTAAGGCTGCAGTCAGAAAGGAGCTGTTTTCTAGCATGGATTATTACAGGTAAAATTTGCATACAAAAATTCAGCATCTACTATCAGCTGTAGAAAATGAAGTGATGATACGAGGTGCATCCTCTCATAATTTTCCCGTCTTTACAAATATGCATGGTATGTTATAAAGCATTAGTACCAAATAATTCAAAAAAAACCCCACAGTGAAAAGTTCAGAAACTAAAGAGATCCAATATAATGCACCATATGAAGGCACTCCTGAAGTGATGAAGAGAGCTGCAATGGATTACCAGTATTTTGGAAGGAGAAATTTGTGCTTTATGCTGAGGGGAAAAAAATCGTCAATTAAAAAATTCATAGCCAAAAAAATGCTGAAGTCTATCCAAGAAGAATCAGAAGTCCAACAATTACGGTATTTAGTAAGCTCAAAAGAAAAACACTCAAGATTCTGACAAAATCAGTAAGCAAGTACTTTATTCTTAAGCAGAAATTCAGCAGGACAAGAAAGTGAGTTTTTCATACAGAAATTAATTTGCTAATGTGTGGTATGGATTAAAATTAAAATATCTTAAAAATAATAAGAAAATAGAGTTGCCTCAAACTAATTTAGCACTGACAAGTGATTTTTTTAAATTGGAAAAAATATTTAGTCCTGCTAAATATTCAGACTATTTACTCTATTTTAATGTCTTGCATTTTACTGTACAGTACTTTACAGTACAAGCACATCAAATCATGAAATTTTCTGTTTATTCTTATCCTAAACCTGAACCTTATTCTTCAAACCCATCTATGCTCACAGCATCTTTGAAGTGTGGCCTCTAGAGGCAAAATACACTTGAAAAGTCAGAATGTGTATTTTCCATATGAATTACAAGAATGTAATTTAAAAAAAATAAAGAAACATCCAAACATCAAAAACCATCAAATCAATACATTTACTCTGTCAGAACAAGCCTACTCAATCTACCAGAATAAAAAGCTCCATTTATTCTTACTTGTTTATAATCTAATAAAGATACATATAATTTTAAAATGAAAACTTAGTTTCACAGCTGCTTGCCTTCATAAGCTTCAGTTCATGTTTTTACATGCATTTAAATAGAATGAAAAAGAACATTTTATATAACAAAGCCAAGAAAAGCACACCATGATCTAAAAAAAAAATAAAAGAACATTATTCTAATAAAATTGAAGAAATCACAGGTCTTTATTTATGTAAATCAGTGTTCTGGTATAAAGTATTTTTCAAATAATAAAAAAGGTAGTAAAGTATAAAGAGTATAGAAATGCTGAAATACATATATTTATAGAAGTCTTATCTGCTATACCATATGCTTAAGAGTTACTATTTAAAAAGTACTCTTATAATAGGAACAGTAACAGTGAAAAGGTGGTTTCTGTTGCAGAGTACTGTAAAATGTAGAGATGCAACACAATGTTAAAAGCCTGCTTGATATAGTCCAAGTAGTGGAATGAGTCAAAATCAACCAGATATCAGAGATCAAAGTCAATTTTGCTGAAAATGCCAAAGAATAACTCTTATTCACACCATTCTTCTTACATGATACATTTGATTATTTTTGCCAAGGTAGCAATGCAGCACAATTAGCAAAGTAACCATGCTATTTAATTTATGTGTATAAAATGTGCTTTTGCACACTCATCTCCTGAGTCATGCCCAGCACTAAACATAATACAATGAACAAATCTTTCTCTTCTCAGAAAGAGCTTCTCAAAACAAGAAAAAAAGGGAAGAAAACCAAACAGCCACTTGCACCAGAAAACAAAGAACTCACTTCTCCCACACTAACATCTTTTTCTTAGAAAACACCTTCATTAAATCTTCAGCAGCCAAAAACCTGTGTTGACATATTGAAGCAGCACGGTCTTTCCTGTGTCCTTGTGTATCATTTTGCCTGGTAAACCCCTCAGTTGTTAACACAATGAAGTACTGCTGGAAAAAGTTTTTCCCTATGCTGGAAAAAGTTTTTGAACATTATTTTACTTACAGCTTCTGCAAAAAAGAGTTTTGCAGAAGCAATTCCATTCTATGGAAAGTTGCAAACTAAGGGTCAGTGATCGAAAAACTCTTCAACTACCCAGTAGGTTCCAAATTTGCCACTATTCCTTCTGACTGCAGAGGTAGAAATGACTGTGCAGAACAACTGATAATCTTATCCTAACCATGCAAGACTATTAAAAAGAAAGGCAATTTTTCTCATAACCATATATGAGCTGAAATTAATCCATAAGCTTCTACCATTCCACGCTGACTTTATACATACACCTAATAAATTGCTATGAGTGTTTGTACATTCCATATTTGATGAATTTAAATCTGAATGAGCTTAAATGTTTATTGCCAATTAATTATGTAGCAATGTCTTGAGTAGAAGCCATCAATGGCAAGGTCAGCCAAACAAAACAAAGTAAACTGCTCTACTCTACTATGGCGTGTTACTGAAATAATCTCTGAGGCACCCCCCAGACACAGATTTATGGGAATCTCTAAAATTAATACTGTCAAAATCCAGCAGGTTTTCACATCACCTATGCAGCTCACTTTTTATTTTTGCTTAAGAAAATATTTATGAAACGAAATGTACTGCAGTAATGATAAAATTTGGGGCTCACCTACTTTCTTCTGACAATGACTCCAGCATTCTTTTAATTTGCAAATGTACATTCCAATAATGTTTCACTAGCTCAAAAGGTAACTAGAAGTGTGTCTATACAGACATCAGATATATTGCATACAGCTTCACAAGTAAGTGAAGAAATTGATAGATTGGCCCTTGCGAATTAACTTGCATTTTCTCAGTTTGTCTGAATATTTTACTTCAATAAAGACAGTTTGTATTTCTGGTAATGATAATAAACAATGATTAATAATCAAAATAAGAAATCGGTGGATCTTCATCCACAAGTTAACCAATATATAGTCAATAAAAAAGGAAATATAAGAATGTTAAGACCCCTGATTTCCCAAATACTATACTGATAGCTCACCATGCAGTAAAAGGAGACAGCAGGGTGCTTGTGCACTACTCACAGACTGCTTTGCTGCTATTATCACTTGCAGTGAGCCTCTAAGTCAGTATCAGAAAGGGATAAATACAAATAGCTCTTTATTGATAATGCAATGTCACAGTGTCTCTCCAGGCAAAAGTAATAAAAGATAACTAGTGTAGAAAGAGCATTAGGTATCTCTACTGTTGATAGAGAGAGAAGGCAACCAAAATGGGAGATTCAGTCTGAAAAACTGGATCTGAAAAACTACCAAAAGGACAAACATTGTCTTGGAGAGAGAATCCTTTGGAAGCTTCCAGGTTCAGGCATTCTGGCACCTGGCAGTCCACAGGACTCTGTAACTCCCAATTTTGATCTGTTTACCTCCTTCCAGACAGACAGAATCTCCTTTTCTTCATCAGTCTCAACTACCCTCTTAACAATATTCTTCCAGTAAGTTCACGGTGATGGACTTCTTTCTTTAAATGTAGTAGGCAGGAGAACACTAAACTTTGACATCAAGAACTTCTTGCAACTTGTTGAAACCCTAGACCACATGAGGTGCTTTCTTTCCTTCCATCTGTGACAGGACATATTGCACTGGCTGGGCCTAAAATCTTCAAAATTACTCCTCCCTTCCTAGTTTAATCACTTAATTCACTTTTTTAAAGTCCACAGCCCAAAAAACTCCTATTAATTTTGATGGATGTAACAATATGGTTTGGAATCCACTAATGACCTATCATGAACATGGAGATCAAGAGGTTCTAAAAAAAACAAACTGAAGCAAAATGGAAAGTCCAAAAGAAATTATGACCTTAACAAGTGTTTAAACTCTGGTGAACACAGACGACTGTTGCAAAATTCATTGTTTCATCTTGGTGGTGTTAGGCTATATAGCTGAACTCAATGATCACAGAGTTTTTTCCAACTTATAGGATTCTATGATTCTATTCTATGACCCATGTTTCTTAGGCACTCTAGGTATAGGCAACATATTGTTGTGCCTAATATCTTTTAAAAATACTAATGTATTAACAAGCCTGCCAGTCTACAGGAATGAAGAATGCTGCACTGTAACTGTTTCTTGAGAGATATAAAGATGACAACATCCTCAATTCACAGATAAACCCACCACCTTGGCTTTCAGACACATACCAAGATGAGTTTATGCTCAAAAAGCCATAATACCATGGTTTTTGGTGCTCTTTCCTTGGTACTATGCACTCAGTCTGGTAAAATTATTTATTTCTCTTGAATCTCTTACTGTGGCTGAAAAGACCTTCTTTGCTCCTCATTTCTAACAGGTAAGAGCATGCACATGAAGAATCACTCATGTTCATCTTGTCATGCTAGTGTAACTTGGCCTCATTTTTAGTTTTTCCAGTGAAAATCTAATACTTGACAGAGACAGCAGATTAAAATCCCAGTAAAAGAA